ATTGAAAAAATTGGATTTAATTGGTAGGAAACAATTGAATTTAATATCTAAGAAATAATTGAATTCAGTGGATTGAATTTAATTGATACGGTTCAATTAATTGGAATCGATGTTTTATATACTTAAATGATTTTCGAAAGATTTCATCCATAATTTAGCTTTTAATGGGTTAAATTAGAGTTTTAATTAAATTAATTAATTGATTTTCTAGTTGAAAGATTTTTCCATTTGGTCAAAGTACTCATAAGTTTAAGATATAAGTTAATTCTAATAGTGATTAATTGAGGTGATTGTTTTCAATTAAATGGATTATCTTTCAATTAAATTGATTATTTAGCAATAAATTCGGATTTCAAGGAAAATTAATAAGAATTAAATATAATTAAATTAGATTAAGTTGATTATTTCATTTCATTATTTAATCCGAATTTTTTTATTAAAAGTAATTGAAAAAATTGGATTTAATTGGTAGGAAACAATTGAATTTAATAGCTAAGAAATAATTGAATTCAGTGGATTGAATTTAATTGATACGGTTCAATTAATTGGAATCGATGTTTTATATACTTAAATGATTTTCGAAAGATTTCATCCATAATTTAGCTTTTAATGGGTTAAATTAGAGTTTTAATTAAATTAATTAATTGATTTTCTAGTTGAAAGATTTTTCCATTTGGTCAAAGTACTCATAAGTTTAAGATATAAGTTAATTCTAATAGTGATTAATTGAGGTGATTGTTTTCAATTAAATGGATTATCTTTCAATTAAATTGATTATTTAGCAATAAATTCGGATTTCAAGGAAAATTAATAAGAATTAAATATAATTAAATTAGATTAAGTTGATTATTTCATTTCATTATTTAATCCGAATTTTTATTAAAAGTAATTGAAAAAATTAAAGAGGCAAATTAGTTTATTTTATTCCAAAGTGTTTTATTAAAGTATTTAAATTTAGTTTTAAAATGTAAGTTGTTACCCAAATTTTTGGTAAGTATCTTTATTGATTTTATCAAAGGATTATTTTTTATGGAATGATTTTATTTTGAAAAAAAATTTATACTTAGTTTTATTTAAAGGTTGGACCTAATTCATTAAATTAATGAAGATTCCGCAACGAATATTAATAATTTAGATAATAAAATAGCAAGTGGCTTAAAGTCTTGCATTCATGCTGGTAATACTCTATATCTATTTAAGTCTTATTTCGGGAGTGTTACATTTTGTGTTCGTTTCTTCGATCAATCACCGATAATTTATAGAGAAAAAGCATATTAGGAATTTCGTGTGATTTGGGGATAAAAGGGAAATTCAAAGGCTTAAGTTGGGATATACGAGCATTTTATCCGGAGGAAATTTGAGATTTTAAGTTTTTCATATCTTTAATTTCTTTTACGGTATTTGAAATTGAGAGGAAAAAAATTAACGTCACGTGTCAACATCCTATTATTCATACGTCATAAATTGATACCATTGTTTAAAAAATTAGACGGATGGATAAAATTCAGACATAAATTAAAAATTGAAGGACATGATTATTGAAAAAATTAATAAAGAGACATGATTAAGATAAATAAAACAGTAGAAGAACATCGTAGACTTTTAACCTTTCTTGAAATTGTCCCCTCCTCCAAACTGTACCAATTACAATTAGTAATTGTTCATCCATTTTACCTTCATGCCAAACATATCCCAAGAATGATAACCGGAGAGGTTTTTATGTAATCTGCTGGAGTGCTACCTATCCCATATTTTAATTGGTAATGATTTTATATTTATTGAGACTGAATTCGTAATGAAGTTATGTCAAGCATATAAACATAATATATATATATATATATATATGTAAAACCACCAAAACTGAAGCAACCAGGTCTAGTTAAAGTAGCGGGCCTTGTTTTTGGGCGATGGGCAATGGGACAGCAATAAAATTATGGTCGTGGTCTTATGCAGTCAAGCGTCCTCTCAAGATGCGGAGCTTTGAGCAACCATCCCATGCGTCTTCACAAGGATAAAAACACAATGACCCGCCATTGAAACTGTCACTTTTAACTTGTCTCAGGTAAGTTTAGTAGTAAATTTTTTTTTTAATCTTGATTTGAATAAATAAAAATAAATTTATAAATAAATTGATTACATATTGTTATATTTTTTATACTCATATACATATATTTAGAAGGATCTTATCATTTTTTCAAAAATAAAATTTAAAATATTTTTTCGAATAAGATTAATTGAGCATAAATATAGCACATCATAAAAAATCTACTAATGAGATTTGAACATAAGACCTCTAGATTGAATGAATTATTTGAGTCAACCTTTTAAAAAAATAATTTTGTAAGTTTAAATATTAGAATCAATACTTTAGACAATTTTCCTTCCCAATACATAAGACTGGTGTGAAAAATACATTATTAAAATAGTTCATAAATAAAATTTAATCTTGAATAATCTATAAATTAGTCTAAAAAATCATTAATCCTCAAACCAAAATAAAATGAATACCTTCTATTGAAGCCATGAACGAGCCCACGAGGAACAGTACTGTTGTGCTGAAAATATACTCAAAATCAATACTACATCAGTTGTGGAATAATGCAAATCACACCTACTTCTAATCAAACTCGTCACTTATTGAATTTTGTTCTTAATAAATTTGACCATTGTTTTAATTTCTCCATCACTATTAATCACTTGATTATAATGGATACGGACATCATTGTTTGACTGACCTCTCTTTCTTTCTCAGACAGATATCTATCTGTCAGCAAGTGAGATCATGCGTGAGGCAATGCGGCCATATAAAAATTATAGTTTTGGACCAGTGTGTTTCTTTCAAGTTTCGAGCATCCATCACATAGGTTAGGAGGCTTTCAGAAAGAGAACAACACATGAATCTCAATTAAAAGAATCACCGTCTATGCGAAGTCACACATCTTTTGACACCAAAAAACTTGAAAGCATATGTCCTACCTTTCTCTTCATGTCAAACTATTGAACCCACGAGGAAGATGATAACGTAAACTATACCTACTTCTAATCAGACATTCAGGCTCACCCACCTATAGCATGCGCTAATTGACTTAATTTCACTCTTAAATTTGACCCGTGCTTTTTTTCTCTGTCAATGTTAGTTAGTTGATCATAATCAACCCAGGAGCCTGGACAACCTTACTTTGCTGACCCCTCTTCCGTCCTCTCTCTCTGGATTATGGGCCTCTCTAACCCTTCAAAGTGGGGCCATGAAGTGAGATTATGGTAGGGGAACCCCAACAGCCACAAACACCAAAGTGGGGGGGGGGGAGGATAAGAATGCAAAGCTGTCAATTTGCTGAGATTTCATGCATTGGCATCTCTTTTTGGATACAGCAAATCCAGCTACACCCACGTATTTAACCTCCCATAAACAAATCATGCATTACCTAACTCCTCAGAACCCTATTAATTAATTAGAACTACGTATAGCCAATACCATTTTTAATTTTATCATCCTTTTCTTTTGAAAAGTCCCGGCAACCTTTTTTAATACTAAATAATAATTTCTGTTGTGCATGCTAAGGTAAGCCCTCCATCGGGACCTCTGACTCATCAATCATCCTGTCAGAATTGTCCATGAAATTCCATAGCCGGCCAATTACTGAGTATTAATTATTGTAACCGTTAATTAAGAATTGAGAGCTACTAAATTCATCTTCAATTCGAACTCAACATAAATTTTTAATCACCATCATAAGACTTTCATATGGAACAAAAGACTTTGGAATTCATAGAGTGACATGATAGCGAATCGTAAATTAATTTGGGATTTTTTGGTTTAATTTTAAAAATTTTTGGATCTAATTCGATGTCACATAGTTAACGATCAAAACTAGTTGGCTTCACCCATGACATAGGGGTGATTTTGACAAGAAAAAACATCGTTTAAACCCTCAAAATTACAATTTACTTGTTTCTACGAGATTTTAGTGATTTTCAGGATTTTTCCTATTTAATTTTGAATTTTTAGTGTTTGTTTCCTTTTCAAATTAATTTACGGTTTTGACCTAAAATTTATTATTTATGTAAGATTTATAGGCTGAAAAACACCATTTTTACTTGATTAATAAACTTTTACAAAAAAGTATCTCAATTTTTTTAATTTTCGATATTCTTTGAATCAACGGAATTAAAGCTTATTTTATAATATTTATTTGTGTAGTTTAACAGATTATAGTAAATCGATATCTGAATTTCATATTAATAGTATTTATTATTTTTTTTGTGAGTTTCCGCTACATACTTATTATATGAAATCAAAATGGTAAGCCAACCCATCAGTAAAATAATGAAAGGGGAAAGTTCATTCTTGATTTTGGCTAGCTATATACTATATATTTTCGTTTTTGCGACGCAGCTAGCTAGTTTTGCCGAACCGTTTGGGTCCCTAGAAAAGATGAACATGAAAAGAAAGGGATGGTCGTACTGAGGAGGAGCCTACAACAGCAACTCATGTTTTCAAATTCCGTAGTGTGTGCAGACTGCAAAACCTAGAGATGGATGGGAGTTATGCTCGCCGTATTTTAGGTGACGTAGCGTTGCAACTAAGAATCCTACTTGCATGGCTTTGGATCAGAGTTGTTAGATTCTTTCTTTTAACTCTTAACTACTTCTGTTCCTCCTATTATCTTTATCCCTTAATTAATACATATATTAATCAATTAACAGTTAACAACTTGGCCATCTTTGTCTCTCCTTAAAAAAACCTTGAAGTCCTAATCAACCCTTGCTTTTCTGCCAAGTGTCACCAACCCATTTCCTAGAGGACTCTTTCCTAGTCTCTTCTGCCTATGCATACAAAAATATGAGTCCACTCTACATGGTGATGATCCACATTAAGAAAGCACAGCTCATGCGTTTGCGATGAAAACAACTCTATAACATCCTCGTCCTCATGCTATCATTGCCTACATTAATATCAGCAAACTTTCCTTCCCTTCAACACTCACCACTTCTCCACAATGCTCAAACTCCTCGACAAAAGGCTGAGGCGCCTCTATTCTCGTTTCCGGTGGCCTATTCGCCGTGGTTCCAAGCCTAAGGTTGTCATAAAGAAATTTGGAAAATCAAACTCCAAATCACATAACGGCATCAAAGTTGAGCCCACCAATATTGGGTCTGCTACTGTCCATCCAAATGGTCAATTGAGTGAGGAGAAGCCAATCAAGATAGCAACTTTTAATGCTGCCCTGTTTTCGATGGCACCTGCTGTACCTAAAACAGAGAATCCTAGGAGTTTTGACGATGAGAGTGAAGATGTTGCAGACTCTAGAAAGGCTATAGATAATAATAAGTTACGCACAAAGTCTGCAAATGATCGGCCGAGGAGTATTCTGAAGCAGTCTCCTCTGCATCCGAACTCCATCAATGGTAATGAGAATCTCTCTAAGCAACAGAAGTTTGCTAAGTCAAAGTTAAGAGTATCGATCAATTTGCCTGATAATGAGATTTCATTATTGAGAAATAGGCAATTGAGCTTTAGAGAAGACGAAAAGGAGGGTGCTTCAAGTGTTAATATAAGTAAAATTCTGAGAGGAAAGGCTCCGATGAGGTCACAAAGTTTGAGCTTGGCAAAAAATCTGGGAAATGGTGGGGTTGACGGAGAGAGTTATAGGAGTACAAGGACAGTGGTTCAAGTGTTGAAAGAGCTGGATGCAGATATCTTGGCTTTGCAAGATGTGAAAGCAGAGGAGGAGAAAGCAATGAAGCCTCTTTCTGATTTGGCTGCTGCGTTGGGGATGAATTATGTTTTTGCTGAGAGCTGGGCTCCTGAGTATGGAAATGCTATCCTCTCAAAGTGGCCGATTAAGGGATGGAAAGTGCAAAAGATCTTTGATGATACTGATTTCAGGTGAATCTAATTTGTTTCTTTAATCTCAATAATTACAGAATCATTTTAAAAAAATAATAGCAATTCTTGTTCATCTTCTATTTTTCTCAGCTTTGATAGATTTTCGCTCTTGCTTTAGCCGTTAATAAAATTAGAAAGGACACAATAATTTTCAAAAAAGTCAGCAATGACGGACTGCTTTACAGAATACTTTAACATCCACAAATTTAACTTTTCTTAATGTTGGCATGAAAATATTGCTGTCATTTAACGTTTTCCTAATTATTTTCTTTGCATTCTAGTGTACTATCATTGACTATATATAAAAACTAATATATCAGAAAATATTTTTTGTTTCTGTAAATATATCAGTGTTAGCTGTTTGCACTTTCCAGAGTAAATTCTTCATTTTTTTCCCCAAATCTTATCAGATAATTATTCTGATAAAGTTATTAACCAATTACTACCGGAAGTTTCATCTTGTCGAGGGATTTATTTCTAAATCCATTGTTAGGTAGAGTTTGTTGAGGACCACATTGGTACAGCTGCATTGTGTCCATGGTATTTTATTAAACCATTTAGCATAATTGAGATAACAACGGAAGCTAACAACAGAAGAAGGCTCCCTCTTCTGAAGCTTTGCCAGTATCTACCTGGAGATGAGATGTACATTGCTATGCTATACACTTAAATTATTGGTTTTATGGTTGACTTTAATGGATGCTCGCTAGCTATGACATGCAGCCCTTTTCCTCACAAAAGCAGCATTCCATGAAAATTAACTAACAAGAAGCACAAAGAGACAAACAGATGAATGTGCCCTAAATATAAAATTCATGCCTGACACCCATAACTAATCGCACTACACTGCCATCACATTATTAGTGCTAAAGATTTTAATTCATCAATTGTTAAGAACACAACCTGTTCTGAAGAATTCCCATATTTCATCTTGTCAAATCGAAAAAAGATAAATGATCGAAGAATTTTGATTTTCAAGCTTAAAAAACTTCTGATACCTGACAAAATGATCAAGAGTCGAGGCAATTAAAACTCATTCGAGCTTTTGTGGAAACTGCAGGAATGTTCTTAAGGCCACCATTGACGTGCCGCAGGCAGGAGAGGTCAACTTCCACTGCACCCACCTTGATCATCTGGATGAGAACTGGCGGATGAAGCAAATAGATGCCATTATACAGTCAAGTGGTGCTCCTCATATCTTAGCTGGAGGTCTTAATTCTCTTGACGAGACAGATTACTCTGATGAGAGGTGGACAGACATTGTGAAGGTAATTGTTGTAAAGCAATGTTGGTTGAAAACAATTGTTGTCATAGAAAGTACAGTTTCCCGAACTTTTTATTCTTCTTCATGTGATTGGATCTGTAATTCGTATTTCTTGTTTCATTTATGACAGTACTATGAGGAGATTGGAAAGCCAACACCAAAAGTTGAAGTAATGAGATATATGAAGAGTAAACGTTACACTGATGCTAAGGACTTCGCTGGAGAATGTGAATCAGTAGTCATGATAGCCAAAGGCCAAAGTAAGAAAAACAAAATTAAGTACTTAACTTCACTCTATCAAGACTATATATATATATATGCTCACTAAGCCATTACTTGGATGCATGCAGATGTGCAAGGGACTTGTAAGTATGGGACTCGGGTAGATTACATAATGGCATCCCCAAATTCACCCTACAAGTTTGTTCCAGGGTCATATTCAGTGTTTTCTTCAAAAGGGACTTCCGATCATCATATCGTGAAAGTTGATATTATAAAAGCAAGTAGTAGCAGTCAAGAAAATGTCACCAGAAAGAAACGGCAACCTAAACAGAAAGTTGTAAAGATAACCAACACTTCTCCTTCTGCAAAAGGTATATGGAAAACACACACATGAGAGGGATAGATGAAGTTTTTTCCTTTTCTTTGTTGGTATGTAGATTAATTATTTCAGTCTTGGTTTGGTTTCCTGGTGTAAAAGAGAGGATCGAGCTAGGAGTATCGGTGATATTAGACCTGCTTCCGCCTAGCTCCGATGCACTTTGCAAATCTTTTAACTTGGAATTAGCTAGGTTAAAAACTTATGGGAGAGATGGTATTTACTGTGCTACTTATTGAATTGCATAGCTTGTAGAGGGAAATTGATAGTACAATGAAACAGTAATAAGAAGGAAAGATTGAATTGGTTCTTCTCTTTTGACTGTCGTATCACTATATATATTTTGTGCTCTGTCTAACTAAGAACCGCAATGGAAACTGTGAAAAAATAACTAGGAATTTTACAACGGAAACTGTGAAATATTAACTAAGAACCGCAAAAAAAAGGCAATTAAGATAATCTTCCATATTCCTTACTTTGTAAGCTAGATCCCATGTGCATTTATATAAAGACATCAATAGTTTTATAGTACTGAGAAAGAGGAAATGTGGAGTTAATTTGATGAATAGCTTACTAAACTATATCCTCACTAGAAAAGAAAAAACAATTGTCAAGCGATTTGATGGGTCATGTAAAGTTGCTTGTGTTGTGTATGATTTTACTAACAGACCTAGTGGGAGTCCTGCCCAGCAACATGGGCCAGATTTTCCCCAGGCCTTTCCGTATGGGTCTCGTGGGAGCCCAAGCCAGCCTTGTTTTCTTTTTTTATGCTTTTATTTTTTTCATTATTTAATATTCACTCAAAATATTTTTTTCTATAATTAATGATTAATTTTTTATTTTTTATACACTCATTAACTAAAACTAAACACTCTTCTAATATAAAACGACTTAGCCAATTTTTTTTAAATAAATAATTAATTGATGTTTTCTTTTTTCTTTTTTATCGATCGAAATAAAAATATTTCTAAGATATATTTAAACTCAGTTATGAAATATATATATTCCCACAATTATTTTTAATTATTTAAAATATTAAAAAAATTAATGGCTACTTTTTTATTTTTTTATAGGCTCAGTGACTAAAATTAAATATTTTTTTAATATAAATTGATTTAGCACATTCTTCTAATTTGATTATTTAAAAATAAATAATTAATTGCATGTTTTTTTATTGATGAAAATAAAAAATATTTCTAGAATATATTTAAACTCGAATATATATAAAATTAAAAATACATAATTATTTATTAAATAAAATCAATTCTGACAATGGTGTTAATTAAGTTTTATTTTACGCTTATATTTTTTAATTATTTAACATAATAAATCATATTATATAGATTTACCTGCAGTAACATGCATAATTACGTATTAAATTAAATAAATTCTTACAATTGGTTGTTAATTAAGTTTTACACTTATGTTTTTTTAATTATTTAAAATAATAAAACAGATTATATAGATTTACTTGCGAAAACGCCCATAATTATGTATTAAATTAAATAAATCATCAAAATTAGTATTAATTAAGTTTTATTTCATACTTACAATTTTTTAATTATTTAAAATAATAAAACATATTATATAGATTTATCTGTCAGAACGTAATAGTGCTGTCCAAGTACATTACTATGTGACGAACACGGATGCTCTGATACACTGTATGCCTTTTTGATGTTGTTAAGTAAAGTAAACTAATGCAATAAGTAAAGAAACAGAGTGGATGGGACAAAGGTAAAATTCAAATTAGTGAAGGATAGTTTTGAATAAATGAGAAATGAGTGTAGATAGTATATACTCGGATAAGTATTGTCTCATCAGAAAAAAACAAGCTTGCCCTAGGGGGTGTTGGGACAAAATTAAGGATATTAGACATGACAAAAACCATCTTTTTTCATGTCTTATGTGTATAACCAACAACTTCACACGACGACATTTTATGTTGTTCTCTATCGTGTAACAAGACAGAACGCAAATTATTACACTTTATAGAGCTGATTTTTAAGGGCAAAACACAAATTATAACACTTTATAAACACTATATTTATGACAAAACATAAATCGCAATATAGATATAAATTACAATAAAAACACAATATTTTACGATGCCATCCATCAAGAATGCACTGAAACTTATTTACGATGCATTGGAACGTGAATTGTGATGCAATGGAACTCACTGATACTACCATTTTTTCAAGTCGAGGAAACTCACGATACTACATTTTAAATCATTCAGTCTTCAGTTTGTCAAAAAACCATGTGCTGCAGCAATGTTAATCGTGAAACGCAAAGTCAGCCTCCCTGGACTATTATTGTCATAATATATGCACCGCACGATAAAACTGGGAGCAGCCAAGCCCATCATCCAAATTAGAACCCAACCTTAGCGGCCTATGCTTTGATCTTCAATTTGGAAAGTTTATTGATTATTAGGGGTCTAGTAATGCTATGCACCGTAATGGACCCGTATTAAGGAAGAATTTGTGGGCGGCCCTAACTAAAAGTAAAACCACAGCACTGCGTGACCTGGCAAACTAGATTTGACAGATAAATAGAAAGATAGCATTACTTTCGATTTATTTATAATTTATAATCTCGCTACTCTACTGCTGTATTTTATCAACTCCACAAGGCTTATAATCACATTTATTGTAAATAATAAACCTTTTTTTAAACAAAAATCTTATACATTTTATATATTAAACAAATAGATTTTGTTAATGAATTTATAAATCTAATAACTAATATTTTTTTTTGGTAAATATGTAATATAAGCTTAGCAACGCTTTTCTTGTAATGCCAACGGTCAGCCTACGGAAGCTAATCAAATTTCAAGAATTCTTCCGATCTTCCTGCCCATTAAACAGTTGTTTGGTCAGGTCTTGTGTAAGAGATGATGACATACGATGAACTTGTTCCGAAACTAGAAGACTGGACGAAGAACGCCACACATCATCAGCTTCAGACCCTCCACTCCATCCTCCAACACCAAGCTACCGTTGGCTATCTTCAGCCTTTCCTCTCTGCCTATCCTGCCCCCATCGACGCAGCCACTTTTCGACGCCAGGTCCCTTTGTCTTCCTACGATGACTATGCTCATCTCATCAGTCAATTGGCCAACGGCGACATTTATCACCACTCCCACCTCCTCTCCGTTGACCCTCTCCTTTGTTTCTTCTACAGGTACTCTGCTTTGATTCCTTCTTTAAGCCCCACTACCAAAAAAAAAAAAAATCAACAATTAAGGGGAAGAAAAACCTATCTTTTATCAGACTATAATTTATATTTTAATTTTGCAGCTCTGGCACTGCTACATTGAAGCCCAAATTAATCCCATACTTTGATTCAGCTCTATCAAGAGCTGCCTCTTATAATGCTCACCAAGGCAGTGCTGCAATTTTTCGGAAGTAAGTTTTTTAGTTTTATCAATTTATTAATGTTTTCACATTTTTGTTAGTTTCTTGATTCATAAATTGGATTTTATATTGGTATATTTGCATAATCAGACTTCATTTTTTTCATAATTATTGATACATTGATTTAGGTTAATCCCACCAAGGCCTGAAGTGAATAAAATCCTTTGGTTTCTGTACGCGGACGACGTTACAACTACAAGAGGTGGATTCAAGGTTATGGCTGCCTCTACATACCCTTTGCAAGGGAATAAGAGCAGAAATAATTGGTCTCAAGCTCTTCCTTGCATTAGCCCCCCGCGGTTGTTTTCGGTACAAATATTGAGCACCAAATGTATTGCCATCTGCTTTGTGCACTTAGGAACTTTGATATAATTGATGGCATTCGTGCTGCATATGCACCGGGCTTGATTAGAGCATTTTCACTGCTAGAATCCAAGTGGGAGCAACTATGTTATGATCTCGAAAGTGGATTTCCTAGTCTGGAAATTGCTGATGCTGCAATGAAGGAATCTGTCGTTGAAGTTCTTGGCGGACCTCAAGTGGATTTGTCGAAGAGAATTGGAGAAATTTGTGCAGAAAGCAATTGGGGTGGGATCGTGTCTAAATTATGGCCTAATGTTCGCTATGTTAAGTCTGTTACAACTGGAAGCATGAAGCAGTATTATTCCAAACTCAAGTACTATGCAGGAGATGTAATGATTTTAGGTGGAGACTATTTTGCATCAGAATGTTGTCTGGGTATTAACTTGGATATCCAACAACCTCCAGAGTCAACGCGATTCGTTATGCTTCCAACCGCGGCCTATTTCGAGTTTCTCCCCTTCGATTTGAATGAGAGCAGTGTTGTTGGTGAAGAAACTCTGGATTTTTCAGGTGTTGAAGTAGGGAAGATGTATGAGGTGGTTGTGACTACTTACAGAGGATTGTATCGATACCGTTTGGGTGACATTGTGAGAATTGCTGGTTTTCATAATACATCTCCACTAGTAGAGTTCATGATGAGAGCTCCTAAAACTGCTAATGAGATAATAACCGAGAAAGACTTGATGTCTGCTATGGAGAGTTTTCAGCATTCAATGGCAGAAGAGGTTGTGGAGTTCGCAGTGTTCTCAGATTTGGAGTTGAGTCCAAAGCAGTTGAAGGTTTTTATAGAGTTTAGAGAGGGATGTGCGTTTCTACAGGAGGAGAAGTTGCAGGAATCAGTTGAAACTCTGAAGAGGTGTTGTACTTCTCTTGAGAATGGCTTAGGAGGTATTTATAAGGTGCAAAAGGATAGGGATGAGATAGGCCCTTTGTTGGTGTCTGTGGTAAGGTCTGGTAGTTTTGATGGGATATTACAAATGGCCATCAAGAATGGGGCACCAGCTAGTCAATATAAACCACCAAAGATTATTAGGAATTCTGAAATTGTTGGTTTTATGGAAGAATCTGCTCTTGTGACTATAAGCTTGGATTGAATTACATGGATAAGAAACCAATTACAAGTCAGAAAGCTGCAAAACCTCTTGTCCTTCAGGCTTTTATTCTTGGTGGAAATATGTTGTCAATTTCGTTGTGACGTTATGGCAAAGAAGAGAAACAATAAAGTGAAAGGTGTAATAAACAAAAGATTTTTTTTTTTTTTTTCATTTTTTTTCATCAGGAGATCTGTTGGGTCTTATTCTGTGTATAGAGTAATATATTTTTATTATATAATAACTAAATAAATTAAAATTATTAAACATGTTTCGTCGGAGGAAGCTGCTAAATACAGGAAGACATTTGGTCATATAAAGAAAATAAATATCTATTATTCTAAGAATTTAATTTCATCTTTAATGGATTTAGATTTTTGACTTTTTAATATACTGTTTTTGATCAATATATTTTTAAAGGTCTAGCATGCTTTATATATATATATAGCAATAAAAAATTTCTTGTATTAGTTTCATGCATTTCAAAATTAATCATTTTTTAGAGGCGGTTAAAAAACATTTCTTAATATACGATTTTGGATATTTTAAAAATAAAATTTTAAAAATGTTATAAAATCGAACTTTAAAATTAATTTATAAATTAATATTTAATTTATTAGCGGATTACCAAGTACCATCTGTTATATGTTTTTGTTCTTCAATTTTGAAGTAAAAACTAAAATCAGCTTTCAAAAGCGAACGACATGGGAAACATCGCGTGATTATTTACGTTCACACCGTTTAACTAGCGTCGCGATTGGGCCCAGTTGGTCTTTATTTTGGGGTAAATGGATAAAAGATATATATCAGGGGACGAAAATTTATTTTCTTCTAAACAACGAGGGCAAATAAAGTTCTTTGTTTTTAGTGGTTCTCTCCTTGATTTGATGCCGACTGATATACATATATATTCTAAAGTTAAACTGAAAATCAAAAGCTTGCTTCTTAATTGAGGTTATTTTCTAACTGCATAAATCGAGACATCACCATTCATTCGAGCATGGATTTTTACGATGGCAATATGGAGCTGAAGGAGATTCAAACACTTGAAGGGCACACCGATAGGGTTTGGAGCTTAGCTTGGAATCCAGCCACCGGAACTTCTGATATTCCTCCTGTCCTCGCTTCTTGTAGCGGCGATAAGACTGTTCGAATCTGGGAGCAGACTCCTTCCAATCGCCTCTGGCACTGCAAGGTTTTCTTCTTTTTTTTTGCTTTGTTTATTATTTAGTATTTTTTATTATATCGAGGAACTCAGGCCACCTAACCTTTCAGTTTTACGCGAATGGGAGTTGAAACACACACTAGAACTGTTTGGTCGTGTGCCTGGGAATGTTCTAGGAAATTGTTTAATTTAGTTGGTTTTTGTGTTGGAAGAGTTTTATGATTAATTATGGGATGACTGCAGGCGGTCCTGGAAGAAACGCACACTAGAACTGTACGGTCATGTGCCTGGTCACCTTCTGGGAAATTATTGGCAACCGGCAGCTTTGATGCCACCACTGCCATTTGGGAAAATATTGGCGGTGATTTCGAATGTGTTGCTACTTTAGAGGTATTTAATTCATAGAAGATATTGCAATCCCTGCCCTTTTTGAGTTTGATGAACCTGGGACTAATTTTATACTTTTTTAGGGTCATGAAAATGAAGTGAAAAGCGTGTCTTGGAATGCATCTGGTTCACTCCTTGCGACATGTAGTCGGGATAAGACTGTTTGGATTTGGGAAGTAATGCCTGGGAATGAATTTGAGTGTGTTTCAGTTTTGCAAGGACATACACAAGATGTTAAGATGGTTAAATGGCATCCAACTATGGATGTTTTGTTTTCTTGTAGCTATGATAACACTGTTAAGGTACACTGTACGGGTTAAATTGGTTATCTCTGCTTTTATTTTCTCTGCAATAAACTTATGTAAAAGTTTCATTTCTGCTTTCGAAATAAGTTAAAAATACAAGAACAATATCATAATTTTCGTAGAAATACAGGTTTGGGCTGAGGATGGTACTGGTGATTGGCATTGTGTTCAAACCTTAGGTGAATCTAACAAGTACTCTCTCTCTCTCTCTCTCTCTCTCTCTTCCTTTCTCCCCTCACCCCTACCCCAACCTTTTGCTTTTGTGTTACTCTCATAGATGCCCTCTTTTTTTGTGCTAGACCATTATGTAGACTAGCTGATATAGTTATGTTTTACATATACTTGAAAATTTGTGTACTCTAGTTCATGTTATTTGTTGGCTTATCGATAACTCTTGCAATATCAAATTAATATGATGATTCAATCTAATTTATCAAGTTTCTTTTCTACTCAGTGGTCACTCTTCTACTGTCTGGGCACTGTCTTTTAATGCTGAAGGAGACAGAATGGTTACCTGTAGGTATGTCAAGTTTTTTTTTTCCCCATTATGATGATCATTGGTTGGGGCAAATTTTATGTTCAAGGAATCTAGGAATGAAAACAGAGTTGTTCTGGCAAGGCAACTGAACAGATATTGGATTGACTTTGCAGTGATGATCTTACCATAAAAATATGGGAAACAGATGTTGGAAGGATGGAGTTGGGCGATGACCATGCACCTTGGTGAGAAACATTCTCTCTATGCATATTGGATCCTCTACTTTCCATTTCTTACATCTTTTTAAATGTCTCACGAATGAGTAGATAATCAGTTATAGAATTTATTCTCGTTTTTAGTGCATCTTCTCTCTTAGAATTCAAGTCAAGAAATGACTTCATATTAGTGTGGATGGAAATTACGTTGGTGCTAAGTAGTAGGCTGCATGATAACAGATGTATATATATTTTTGGAAATGACACTAGAATTATTGTCAATGTGCTCTATTTGAATAATTCAGGAAATAAAGATTTGGTTATGATGCTCTTACAAGCCAATTTACTTATCGAAATGATGTGAGATTTATCCAGCATAAGAGAATTATAGCATGTGCTCTCCATCCCAAACCAGTTGTCCACTTTTATTTGGGATGCCCAAAATGTTTATCCACATTCATTATGTACGAGTTTTGTCAAAGTTTCTTTTGTTATGATAGTTAGAAAAAGAATAAGAATAGATTTGAGATTCTTGGTGAAATTATAGGCCATTCTTTTCAAATTATGCAGGGTGCTTGCCCACACACAAAACAACACTTATTGACAACATGGTTTGTTTTTCAGGAATCATCTTTGCACTCTCTCAGGTTATCATGATCGGACAATCTTTTCAGTTCATTGGTCAAGGTAGCAACTCTTCAATTTAATCGAAATAAATAGCATGTCTTATTCATGGTTTTATGTTGTTTTGGTCTTTGTTACCTTTCATTCTTAAGTTATCATTGGATACGAACTTTGTTGCCCTTTTTCTTTCAGCATTGGTTCTTTCTCATTTCTCTAATGTTTTTACACCCCTTCATGCTTGAACAGGGAAGGTATTATAGCAAGTGGAGCAGCTGATGATGGTTTACGGTTTTTTGTGGAGAGCAAAGATGGTTTGGTATTTATAATTTATATCCTCAGTTTATTATTTCTACCAATTAACTTACCATGGCAATTGCTCCTTTTTCGCATTGTATTGAAATATCATAAACCCCTTAAATTTCTTTTTTAGCATGTCAAGTGTGTGGATATAACAATATACATATAATGTATGAATATTCTGCCAAGTTGTCCTATCTTTCACAAGTTAGCAAAATACCTGCCTTTTTGGGACAAAAACTCCGTTTATTACTACCTTTTGAATGAAATTGCTAGAGGACATGGTTGAGAGGTTCAATTTTTTTTTTTTTCACTTTGTAAGTCTCAATGGACCACCCCCCCCAAAACCCCTCTTCCGAAGAACTTCAAGTAATGGTGATAGTTTAAATCAAGCAACTAATTTTCATTAGGTTTTTTCTATGCTTTCCTCACCTTGGGTAAATTTTTTAGAAGTCCCATGGTTTAATTCTCTTGATTTATTCTTGCTTTCATTTCTTTTTTACGTTAGCTTTTTTTTGCTGATTAATTGCTTTGTATCCAAATCTTTTGTACTTTTCCTGTTTCAATAATTTTGGTCCAGTGACATGGAGAGAATTATCCTCAAAACTGAATGGCTATTTAGAGAAAGGAAAGAACTAAATATTATTGATCATTATTGCTCTGAGTGGGGAAAAAAATGAAACTTACCACCTTGTCCTGAAAACAATTGCAGTGCAAATCTTTGTGGTGGTGTTTTTGTTGTAAAAAGTAGACATGTTGCTAACATTGCTAAACAGTGCAACGTAGTGATCCCCTGTGTCTGTACAACAAGCACATTCTTACTCTACTTGTTTTTCTTATGACTTTCTTACACTATGCCTTTTTCGTAATCTGATTTTCATTATATCAGTGATAGGCTTTAACATTCAGTTTGGTTATCTCATGTATGTCAAACTTCAAGTTGCTTGCAAAGCTATAAGTTAATCACCTAAGTACCTTTTGAAATTGAATTTCTACGATTTTGAAAGAAATTATCTCGGCATAGATGGAATACTTGCATCTGATTTTGATTTGAAATTGGTCTGATGAGGTAATTTGGCCTTGTGAATTTCCTATTTATGGATGCTCAGAAATCCAGGATGCTTTCTCGTGGTTTGATATATTGATTGCTGAGTTAGGGAAAGAAGGATTGAGACTATTGTTTGTTACAGGTGGATGGTCCTTTGTATAAACTGTTGTTGAAAAGAGAGAAGGCTCACAATATGGACATAAACTCAGTGCAATGGGGCCCTGGGGTAAGATTTCTTTTGAAAATGTGAGATTAGATTTATGCATATAGCTATTTTGTATAGTAGATTTAATGTTTATGCTGAAATGAATGCCTTAATTAAGTCCAATAGGATCTGGTGGGAGGAGATAGAGGGAGGTTGGTTGTAGATTCTTGGGTTCTGTGGTGATATAGATTACCTTGCCATTCATGTGTCTTGTAAACTGAATATATATTTCCCTGCTTGCCCTGACGATTTATTTCTTGAAACAACCTATATTACTATCCCCGCACAGCAACAATAATAACAAAGAACACACATGCTGACTTGTAAATTCTGTTGTCCCACCACTCTCACTAGAACTTGAGCGATTTTGGGTAAAATGCTTTTAGAACATTTAAGTGGTACTATGAAGCTTAAAAAGGCTGGAGAGGGTGACAAAACGACCCGTCTTAGAGCCTACAGTGCCCTTTATTTTGTTTCTCACTTTCTGACCTTTTGTGTTGGGAGCAGGGGGATTATGTGTTTGTGTGCATTTAATGCTTAGTGTTGAAATCATCATTGTCTTTGTAGTAAGTTTCCGTATATGATTGTTGATTCTTGCTAGGAAACCCGGCAACTTGCTTCCACAAGTGATGATGGGACGATAAAGATATGGGAACTGGCGAGTCTGACCTGATACAACTTTTTGATAATGATGGTTATGATTTCATTAAGTACCGGAGACAACTTGTGAGATGTAGACATTGACATATGTTTTAGATATATCTCTTGTTAATCTCCTTTTATTTAGTTGATCCGTAATGGATGGAGTTACGTTGACTTGACGTCTCTCTACAATGGAAGTCATCTCCAGGTTTCCATATTAGTTTTCATATTAAATAAAGCACATGTATTTGTAATCTTCTTACATAGTTATGTATAATTTGAATCTTCAAATTGAAACAACTCATGCTATAGGTTTTTTGGACTGTATATAGTTTGCCAGAACTAAAATAGAATCATCCAGATTGGAATTTGGATATTTCTATTTTCCTTGTGCGTTATATTTCACTCCTGATCATTAAACTCATATAGCATGCTGTTTATATAAAAATGGTTTCATAATCTCATTTTCTGAGGGGAAAAATGCAGTTTTGACTGCAAAATTACAGAAGGAACCATGTTGTGCCACCTATCCAGCTGCGTTGTTTCTGGCAAAAGCATCATACTTCATGCTAGGAAATATTTTTTAAAATTTATCTTGAGAGCCTTCAAAAGGAGTAAATGGTCGGACCCACTGAGTTTTCTTCACTTGCTTAGATCATAGCTGGGTGAGAACCTTTATTTCCATGAAATCAATATCTTCATCATCCTGTCTATTTCTCTATGCATTAATGGCTGCTTGGATTTGTTCCAGAGTTCTCCCTTTTGTTTCTGGTACCACCATGGTCACAAACACTATAGCCAGTGCGTTGATTGCAGCATAAAGAATGAAGGTACCTGAAAACCATTCTTGTATAATTTAATTTACTGCTTTTATCAACTACAGTTGTCTTTGGAACTAAATAGTTCTCTCTTGTGCACATCTTGATTACCATTCCTAAAAACAACGTAGCTCTTGGTATTGATTTCTTTTCTTTATATATTATGCTTTATCTTTTCGTGGAATAAGTTTTAGATTTGTTTACCATAGGAGCTCCAGGACATAAGGAAGTTGTAAGTGTACGAAATCGCCCATGCACCAAACCAGTTCACAAGTGTTGCTAGGCTTCCAGCCACTCCCTTAATATTTATAGGAAATATCTGCAACAAAAGACATTTTTTTTTCTTTTGGTGGATAATGAATTCATAAATGGAATTTGCACCTTGAAACTCAGATTACCTCGGACATTATCACCCAAGGAACTGCACCCATTCCTGCTGAAAATGATCCGATATATAGCTGAACAAAAAGTATTAAGCAAAGATAAGAGGAAAATGGTAGTTACATAACTGGAGATCAATCTCAAGAGATATATTATTTGACAATGATCATAATTACCAGTATGCCAGTTAAAGCAAGTGCTGGGACTGACTTCATTGCCAATTCATTAGCCTGGTTTTGTAGAAGGTTACTTTAAATATCAATATTTGAGAGAGAGAGAGAAATTGAATTTATGAGGTCTTAACAGTTTGCAATAACCTTTAAATAGAATGACATCGCAGTCAGTATACAGCCAACAACCAATCCTGATGCAGAAACCTGGAATACATAGATAAATTAACTTTCAATGCCTGCAGGGTGATAATTAAGAGGAAACTTTCAGGGCAAACTGCTTTGGGTAGAAATTTACCAGCAAAAGAGGCTTTCTTCCAGCTTTGTCTATCACGGTTGTGTTAAGGGCGGTAACCACAACCTGCAAAATAATTTTTTTTTAAAACCAATTCCTATGGGATTATGGCATTCGGATTTCTTGAAGTTGACAGAGTGACTGTAAGTAACCTGAATAATGGCATAGATTATGGTTCCAAGACTGGGAGAAAATCCTGGAATATTGCAAAAATTCAAATATTAGAGCACCAATGGGGGATCCAGACATTCTGGAAAGTATCAGCGCACAAGCCTGAGTTATTTGATGTGTTCTCTGGGTGATAGAAAATAATGACCTGCTGAAGTTATATAGACTTAAAAGTAGGGTGGAGATACTATTGTTATCATTTTAACGAGATTAAAAAAGTTGATGTTTAGTTCCCCTGGTTAATGTAAGGGACATGGGTCATGTCTCTTCACATGTTTGTTCCTTTAATAGTAATGTTTATTAAGACCTCTTTACCTGCTGACTCGAAAATGTTGCTGACATAAAAGCAGACCCCATTGATCCCTCCAAATTGTTGAAAGACCATCAATCCTACTCCTATCTGATCAAATAGGTAAAAAGTGAATATAAAATGTATTAGTTAACAGTCAGAATTCATGAAGAAAAAATTATTTATGGCGAGGCCAACTGGAAAATAAAGAAAATATAGGATTGTAAGATTTCAGAGAGGAATAATACAATGACTGATCGTAGGTATCTTCTTTGAAACAAATCGAAGAGTTTGGCTTTTGGGAGCCGTTCAAGAGTTTCTATGTAATCCTGTCACACAGGTATAAAACTCATCATACTTTCTTCGAATTGCTACTGCTATATTATCAGAGTGCAGAATACAGATTTCGGAAAAGAACCTTGATTTCAGCTGCCTCATGAGATATATCAGCATCCTTGCCACGAAGTTTCTGTAATGCTGTTTCAAACTCTCTTTCACGTCCCCTCCTTGCCTGCAACCAAGTCATTTTCATTATATACATTTTCATTATGTGTGTGTGTGTGTGTGTAGGTAGAGGATGCATTCAATTGTTGTTTGTTACCAGCCATCTGGGAGACTCAGGAATAAGAAACAGGCCAAAAATCAGAATTGCACAAGGAACAAGTCCTGCAAGCACTTTAGGGGTAAGCTTCCTGTTCTACAAAAAATTTCAACTGTTTTCTAGTCAAGCATGTAAATTTTCTGAACATTTTGCCCATCCTTGTTCCTGTGATGATTGAGTAGGCGATGGATCAAGATATACCAATTAATGCCAAAGCCCTCCATGTCAGTACTGTTCCTATTATGAATGAAACAGACACTCCACAGCAGATCATAAGCTGCACAAGTAGATCATATGATTAGAGAGGATCCTTGTGTATTTTCTCTCATTACAATTTGGTTTGCGTTATCATCTGGTAATAAATTTGGAAACAGATAGCAAATCAACCCCGTTCCACAAAGCCTCAATACCAAACATAATTTAGAAAGTTGATGTCACTTCATAAAACATCACAGCTTATGAAATTTTGTCATTCATTTGAAATGATACATCTCTTAAGTTCTGCCAGGATCATATCTTTACCTGATTCGTAGTTGTTAGTGCTCCTCTAAGATTCTTGGGTGCAATTTCAGCTATAAAAACAGGTACCTTGTCATAAATTCAACATCATAATGAAAGTCATTATTAACATGTGTTTTGTCATGTGGTATATGCATAAAGGCATAATGAGAAGCAAATTCAAGAAGATAGAAATTCTACCACATAAGAAAAGACTCCCATTCCATATCCCGTTGCCAATCTCCCGAGGTCCAATACCAGAGCACTCTGTTTTGTATAAATTGCGACAGTAAAAAAATCAGATAAGATATCTGGAAAAAATCACTTATGCTTCAGATATTAAGATGACACGAACCTTAGCAAAGTAAATGGCTAGCCACCCTGCAACACAGAAGCTTGTAGCCACTCTCATCGCCTGCATATATTCCATATAAGAGCTGAGTCCTACACAAGTAGTCCTAGATCCAAATAGGGTAATCACAACATCCCTCTACTTACCCATTTGCGACCAATTAAATCAGCAATAGGCCCACTTGTGATTGCACCGATCATTGCACCGAATGTCAGTATGGAACCAAACATGGAATACTTCATACAAACACTAGCACATATCAGTTTGTAAGTTAGAATTTTAAGAGTTTATTTCCTTCATTTAAAGCAGCATCAGTAAACAGTAGATAGTTTTCACTAAATACAAGTACCCAAGATCTACACAATCTTTTGATCTTAGCAACATTTCTACTAAATTCAATCCTGCAGTCGATATGGAACTATGTTTGTAATGTCTACTGAAGCTTAATTATTCTTCTTCTACAGCTTAAGAGTGCATGTGTTCGTTGCAAGAAAGGAGGCTTGTTAACAAAGGGACAAATCAATCGGTTAATTACTTAGCTCTGAATAAGTGCTGAATAAACTGGGAAACAATTCTAACTAACCTCTGCTAGAGAAAGGGAGAGATCTTTCCTGATAGCATCTTGCGTGGGTGATGAATAGCCTGCCTGAAACCACATGAAGTAAAAAATTACATCCAGACTTTGGCTTGTCAGGAATATATAGGAACACGAAGAAAGTTGGGAAACAAAGCTGATTGTTAGTATTGCAAGTTCCTACAGAAAAGAAAAGAAGGTAGAAGTTTACACATGAGCCAAATGCGAAAGAACCACAAACTGCAACAAATGTGCTGAGGTAAACCATCCATGCATTTTCTTTGCTGCTATTCTGAGCAGAAGATCCATCTTGTTCGTCTGATTGGTTCGTCTTCTTCATGAGTGGTTCTCTTACCTCTTCATGCACAATACGTTTCTTACCATTCTCTAGGTCCTCTTTGATGCCCATGTCTTCACTCTTTTAGCTTACAGTCAGTATCTGTGCAAATGGCAAAGAGAGTGTCAAGAAATGCTTTTTAGATCAGGGATGGATGTGAAAATAGGAGGAGAAGAAACGTTTTTCTTTCTTTCTTTTTCCTTTTCCTTAAATATGCCCCCAAGGAATGACGCTTCTCAACCACGTACTCTGAACGTTTTTCTCAAAGCTTCAATAGTCGCTCTTGTCCTACGTGACAAATAGCATTCTTGACTTCATGTACCCAACCGCAGAAAAATCCATGTGGCTATTTCCCTGTCGGAGCATGTTTTGCTTCACTAAATAAATGACATTTTTAACTGGATACCGAAGTAACCAAATTGCTGCAGTAATTCATAATTGCGAGCCTAGATTGTCGTTTGCATTAGAATCGAATAATAATTTTTTGTTGCTCCTGACTTCCAGATGGATACGGAACAGCAAGCATATTTCTTTATCATGCGTATCCTTGTTAAGAGGGACTAGGGAGGGAATGGATAAGAAGTAAAACATGACGTTTTTTTTAATATTTTTTTTATATTTCGTAAGATAATCTTCAATTCCTTCTTATTTTGGACAGATTGATTTATATCATTTCCTTTTTTGCTAGCAAAAATATGTTTGTTTCCCAATCTGTCAGCGAAGATACGTTTGGTAGGAGGTATACGAGTAAGGATGGATAAGAAATCAAATTATGAGACGTTCTTTGTTTAGCAATGGGGATGAAGAATTAAAGAAAAAATTGAAAGGATCTCTTCGATCTTTCCTCATTTATAATTTAATCAGATAACTGGATTGATGAATCAAAATCGATCCTCTCCTCTCCACCTTCCTATTTAGCGCAATCCAATTCTTAACCACAAACACACCTTATAGGAAGGATATATATATATATATTGGTGCGACTCCATTTAATGGAGTCAGGGCAACTTCATTGTTATCTAGATTATTTTACCCAGCAAATTGCAATTATGATCCTAGAAAGAGGCTTCATAAAGCTAATTATAATAAGGATTATGCTTTATTTTATTTTATAGTATGATGATGATATTTTTGGATAAATTTTTTATTGGAATTAAATCTACAACTAGAACCAAATAAATTAAGAATTTTCAGCAATTAGCTATCACTTAGAATAGACTGTGAGCTTGCTGAGCTCCTCAATATGAATTCCAAAATCAAGTTAATTGAACAACTGAGAAGGCATTTTCAGGGTCCATTTGGCGCCTTGGAAGTCTCTAATTTGCACAAAAATTCCGAGGTGTTTTTCAAGATAAATCATCCATCTATCCTTGTGTTCGTTGCTTCAGCCAGCCAATAAGCTCTCCAGCTTGCTCCACATGACAAACATGTCATTTTTGCCATTAAATTAATCGAAAGAAAGAATATGTGGTAGCTAGATTCAATTTGAGTGCATGGCGATATTCATTTGATTCGTTCTTCCTCTTTAATGTGATGATAGATGAGCTCAATAATGCAACAACTGTTCTGTATTATGTATTATTATAATAATTATTATTATTTTATGAATAAATAAAAATCGAACCTGGATATTTTAAAGATAGAGTAGTTATTAATATCGATCGAGTTATATCCCTTGAGGAGAGGGGAGACGTTATCAAACACTCTTTTTACTTGGCCGCTAAAGTTGGTTTACTTTTTGCAGAAGTTTATATATATATATTAAGGAAAAAAAGGTAAATAACAAGTATTTAAATGCATTGTTATGGTATTATGCAAAAACTAATAAAAGATGAATATTTAGTACTCTCAGAAAATTATGATAGGACTTGCTTGTCAAGTCGATCTCCTTAAAATGAATTCACTTGTAATTTCCCCCTGTGTGTATTGATTTTAGGATTAAATAAAGTGACAAACTGGACTAGTTTTTCAATGAGACTAATAAGTCTCTTGGGTCTAATCAAGACACGACATTCAAATTTTGAAGGTTCCATTACATGATGTCAAATCAATCATTTATGTTTATGATGCAACTTCTCAGCTAATCAGATAAATAGAATTTTAATTGTCAGATTTTTAGAGATCGAATCCCTACTCCGGGCAATGCTCTGTTTAGAGCTGTGTCTCTCGTTTGAATAAAAAAATATATATATACATATTGGGGCACTGAAAATGTCAACAAAAGATTTTGGGTCCTGAATTTTTACTTTGTTGTTATCTTCAGTTAAAAAAAATAGATCTAAGAATTCAAAGGGTACCATGAAAAAGGGTTAGTTTTTGAAGGGCGATGTCATTGGACTCACATAATCGCCTGGAAAAAATACAGCCACAAATTTCTGGTGGAGCCAGCTGTGACTTCTTTTTTGTAGCCTGTTTGGGGTCCCTATTCAAAGACTCTAATCTGCTGATAGGGTTGCAACTTGCAGGCTGGAAATCATTGGACGGCAGATAGGAATTGTTTTCTTTTCTTTCCTGTTGGCTTCGACATTCACGTTGTTTCTTGGAATAAAATATCATCGGGGTAAGTCTTTTAAAATAAAAGGAGAAAGAGACATTGAAAAAAATAATATTGCTTTGACGGTAATGGAGGGTAAAATTTATTTTCCAAAAACATTAACTTAAAGAATACTAAGAACGTTTCTTAATAATTAATCTCTTTGGAAAAACTTTCACCAAACGCATTTAAATGGCATAACGGTAATTTTAAATCCCATTATCTCTCTACATATAACCTCAAAATTTCTTTCAAACTTGAAAATAAAAAATTCCTAAAATTTTAAAATTTAAACTTGAATTTTATTGTGTATTTAAATTGTAACTTAATTGCAATCATAAATAAAAGCAAAGTTTGAAATGTAAAAAAACATAATGATTTAAGTATAAAATGATTATTTTCTCCTTTTCCCTCCCTCATCTACTGATTTTTATTTTTATTTTTGGTTCTCAAATTATTATTCTAGTTTAATTATTTTTTTAATTTTCTATTTCTCAAATCTTTTTTTAAATTTTACCACATGATAAATTAATCTGACATGACAAGTCATGTGGTTTTTTATTTTTTATTTGTTAGCAATCTGTCCATTCGAAAAACAAAAAAATTAACAGAATCTCAGTAAGAGGGTACATATTAAAAAAAAAGATAAAAAAAGAAATTGAATAAAAAATATAAAAATCATATTAAAAAAATTAAAAAATAGAGCGACCTTCGATGCGAATAATCCATGAAATATTTATATGCAACAGCCACTGCAAGAGCGTTACCGAGGGGCGAGAAGCCTTTGGCGCGTGATTACTTCTGGAGAGGCGACGTGGGTCCTCTCATTCAGGATACACACAATAGAAGTGGCCAAAACGAAAAAGGCACGCTAACTTGTCCCAGTGGGCATCAATAAGACAATGAATGAAGGTTTCAGGTTCTAAGTTTCATTTATGCTCGGGTTTAATGCGGGTAATTAAAAGAAAACTTAGATACTTTATTTTAGTACGTAAACTCAATCACTAAATTTAAAAATAAAATTAAATAAAATGATGCCAAATATCTCAGCCACCATCGTAGCAACCACATGTTCCATGTAGAGGGCATAAAGGGATTGAGGCTTAATTTATTCGTAAAAATTATCCTTTTCTTTGGCCGAACAAGATTGCTCAGCAGTTTTGTGTTGCGGCTTCATTTGTCCTCAGCTTCAAGTTGCTGCAGGAGACCTAGATCAATACAATAAATACAGCTCATGCATGATGATCCAGACGATCGAGGGATTGAGGCTTTAGGGTGAAATTAAGAGAAGGAAATTAATTAGTGTACTATATTTTTTTTTAAAAAAAGGAACTTTCCTATTGTTGTGTTGACTTGAATAAAGCCAAAATTGAATTTTGACAAGTTAATCCAAAACCTTATCTAAATCTGATTGTCCTGAGATTTTGTCATTGGAAGCCAACTCACTGCCTACCATATATATATATATATACACACACACGTAATAAATTAGTACACCCCAAACTTAAAAAGGACAGGTACCGGTTTTTTCTACTAATTGGTAATTATTAATAGAGAGAAATTTATCAAAAAAAAAAAAAGAAGAGAGAGAGAGACATGCTAATTCTTCGTACCCGAGCATGTCAGCTTGAAAGTTATCTGTGCAGAAAAAACAATAATTCTTTTGTGTGGTTTCACGTATTTCTCTTTTTTGTGAAAAAAAATAGAAAAATACTTAATGCACGTATACATTTGTTTGGTTCTTGTGATAAATAGAAAAAGATTTAGTGTATATATATATTCCATGAGCTCGTTTTTATGAAAAAAAAAAAGGATACATAAAAAAAATAATTACATTTGAATCTATCAAAAGTGATAAAAAAATTCTCATGTTAATTCAATTTTTTTTAATTTTTTTCAATTTTAATTTTTTTTTAATATTTATCTCTTTATGAAGTAATTTATACTAATTATTTTTTGAATATTATAAAATTTCTAAAAAACTTACTCTATCTTGAATATGAGACTCAAATGTTATGATGGCTTTTTAGCTGCGTGACATATCTGTATTCGATGCACTCTATTTGTTAAATATTTTAAGCTGAAGTCATTGCACATGATTGATTATTTGTGAGATATTTTTAAACGTTTGTGGTTATTAAAGGAGCAATCTGTTTATCACTTTTTTTCAAATAAATAATTATAATTATAATTTTTATCTTTTTCGTTGAGATATACCTGGAAAAAAAAAAACAGAGAGAGATTTTAAGTTTTGGTTTGCAATCGGAAGCTACATCATCATTAAATTAAATGAACATTTCTTTGGCGAAATATTGCTTGTCCCGTTTGCCATAAGCCCATAAGCCATCCCAGCAAGGCTTTGCTTCGAACTTAAACTAGCAGTACAGTACGTGACTTGCCTAGCTCACTTCCGGGCCTCATAGAGCCCGAAAATAGAATGGCATGAACAAGATAAAACCCAGATCCCACTCTTTGAAGCTAAATGGACACAACAATCAACTTCATGATAAAGATCGGAGCACGAACGCACTCGATATGTTTCTTAAATTGGCAATAAAGTAGCAGTAAAGAAGTATATAGATTCAGTCAAATATTTCATCATAAAAAGAAGGGACAAAAAAAGAAAAACAAAAACAAAAGATTCAGTCAAATACAAACTATGGTGTTGTCGGAATTTCTCCTGCGGCGGGCAGCAGGAAATTACTCCTTTCATTGTATTCAAATCACAACTGAATTCAATAAATTACTACATACCAAACTCTGAAAAAGAAAAAAAAAAAGTTTTCCACGAGCAGGCTGTAGCTGCTTGATTTATTGTTGATGTTGTTTACAATTTATATCAATGAAATAACGATTGTTATTTCATTGGAGCTAGCGTGTGCTTTGTTTCTAGCTCTAATTAAGCATCAACGCATGGCTGCTTGAATTTGTTCCAGCGTTCTCCCTTTTGTTTCTGGCACCAGCAATGCCACAAACGCTATGGTTATTGCATTGATCGCAGCATAAAGAATAAATGTACCTGAAAACAACACTCGAATAACTCAGATTTCAGCTTGCACGTCTTTCTTTACATTTCCTCTCCAAAAAAACACTATCTTACTGTTTGATCCTTTTTTTTTTTTTTTCATTTTCTAGTTGGATTTCAAGCTTAGCTTGCTTTATTGTATGTTAACGTCAAATTACTTCTCTAATCAAACAAAGTTTTAGCGCTATTTACCGTAGGAGCTCCAGGACATAAGGAAGTTGAAGGTGAAGGAAACAACCCATGCACAAAACCAGTTCACTAGTGTTGCTAAGCTTCCAGCAACTCCTTTGATATTTAAAGGAAATATCTGCAACATAAAAAAACTATTTTGTTGGAGGGATATCAATTATGGAGATGGAGTTATCATCTTGAACGAGTATTAAATTACCTCTGACATCAAAACCCAAGGAATTGAACCCATTCCTGCCGAAAATGTTCCTATAAATAGCTAAACTCAGAGAGTAATTGTCAGAGTTAACATGGGAACGAGATTTTCTGTCGTTAATTGTTTTTTTTTTTTCCAAAGAAGATCAATCCATGTTGACATCGATATAGTTTGAGAAAACTTGTAGGCTTACCAATATGCCGATTACGGCGAGTATGGGAGCTGACTTGAGTGCTAATTCATTAACCTGTTTCACACACAACGTATCTTTAGATATTCTTATATTTGGAAAAGACAGTATCATGAATTGTGACTTGTGAGGTATACATGAGAGTTTGACTATACCTTCAAATAGAATGAAAGCCCAGTTATTATGCAGGCGATGACCAATCCTGATGCAGAAACCTAGAATGCAAAGAGAGTACAGCTTTCAATATGTGAAGGGTTGACCTGTCTGACGAAATGTTTAGAGCTCTAACTGAGACGTGAACCATTCTTTACCAGTAAAAGAGGCTTTCTTCCAACTTTATCTACTATGGTTGTGCTGAAGGCAACAACCACAACCTGCAAAAGGGGATTGTTTCAGTCAATTTCTAGCTATAGTTGAGATAATTAGTTTTTTTGGAGTTAACAGACATTGTGAGAGTTAGAAACCTGAACGATGGCATAGGTTATGGTTCCAACAGTCGGAGAAAATCCTGATATATTGCAAATGCAGAGATTAAAGTATCAAATTATGAATGATTTGAGCATATCAGTAATCAGTTCAAACTTTGAATTATTTGAAGATGGAAGACAATGGCTAAACGAAGTCATGGAGACTGAAATTAGTAGATGGAGAAAGATCTTTTTATCGATTAACCAATGGAAAAATGCTATGCCTTTTCCAGGTTTGTCATCTTTTTGTTCCCTTGAATGGAATATGTAAAAGGCATCTTTACCTGCTGCTTCAAAGATATGGCTGGCATAAAAGCAGATCGCATTGATTCCTCCAAATTGTTGCAAGACCATCAATCCAACTCCTATCTGTCAAATAATTAAGAAATCAAACTAAAAGGTTATAGTTGAGCACAAACTTCTTTTTCAGTGAGATCAGTAAAAAGTAGAGGAATATTTACAAGGACTGAGTGCAGGTTTCTTCTTTGGAATATGTCTAGCAGTCTGGCTTTTGGGAGCTTTTCCAGACTTTCTATATAATCCTGTCATAAAATTGACATATATTACTCAATATTTTATTTTTTATGGTAAATGTTGAGACATTGACCATGAAATTCTAATGCAGACAACAAATTGGGAACCTTGATTTCAGATGCCTCGTAAGATATATCAGCAGCCCTGCCACGAAGTTTCTGTAATGTGGTTTCAAACTCTTTTTCACGTCCCTTCATTGCCTGCATTCATCAGATAGCGTTTCATACATATATGTTATTCGTTGTTATTTGTATATATATATTGCTGTTTTTTACCAGCCATCTGGGAGACTCTGGAATGAGAAACAGGCCAACAAGCAGAATTACACAAGGGATAAGTCCTGCAAGACTTCAGAAGTAAGCTTCCATGTCATTTGTAATATTTTAATTATAACAAATGGACAGAGGAACCTTACCCGTTAATGCCAAAACTCTCCATGGCAGTACTGTCCCAATTATGAATGCAACAGACACTCCAGATGCAGCCATAAGCTGCAAGATATGACCAAGTAACAAGCGTTGATCCTTATCTAAATTTATCATCAAGGATGATCTGCGTTATCTATTTTTAATTCTTTGAAAGATTCCATAAAGTTCGATGGTAACAGCATAGGAAATCAAATTTAACTATGAAAATAGTGTTTCTGCAACTTTGTCCCGTGCAATCTTTACCTGAGTCACAGTTGTTAATGTTCCTCTAAGGTTTTGGGGTGCAATTTCAGCTATAAAAACAGGTACCTAGTCATGAATCAGCAATGACATGAAACTCATCAGTAACATATTTTATATTGATCAAATGTAAGAACAGAGAGAAAATGTACCACATAAGACAAGGCTCCCATTCCATATCCTGTTGCCAATCTTCCAATGTCCAATGCCCAAGGGCCCTTTCGTATTAACCGAGACAGAGTAAAAGTTATTGTCATTTCCTTGGAAAGATAATTTTGGCATTTATGTTAAGATGAAACGAACCTTAGCAAAGCAAATGGCAAGCCATCCTGCAACACAGAAGGAGCTAGAAAATCTCATCGCCTATTTTCCACATGAACACAGTAATATTAGGTGGAGGTTCACTAGAAAAAATATGTAAGAATTGAATCCCTCACAAGTGTAGCTTGAAAGAACCGTAGAGATTCATAGTATCATCTCGTTTCTTACCCCTTTCCGACCAATATAATCAGAAAACGGACCACTTGTGATTGCACCGACCATTGCACCAACTGTCAATATGGAACCAAACAAAGAATACTGCATACATACTCAGAAATCAACATATCAGTTTTTAAGCTAAAACCCTAAGAGTTCATTTCCTACATTTAAAGTTGCATTGTATAACAGGATCTGATTTTGTTTAGGAAAACCCCAAATATACGTAATATATAATCCTAAGAGTTGGTTTTTTGCAATTGCTCCTTAACTCATGTTTTAACCCTTTTTCATGGAAAGGATAGTTTTGTTTCATATTCATTTATTATTCTGTTTCTCTATATCATCGTAAACATGGTAACGTATTTCCAATAGTGATTAAATTTTAATGTATGAACAATTACAACTGTCATATTTCCTGAAAAATATTAGTGCTTGTTCTGTGATGCACTCCCTTTTTTTCATCATTTATAGTGGTTTTAATTATTTTTCCGATCCAAATTGTTGTTAGTATGCATGCTTTGATTTGATATGGTGCTTCCCGGATCATTCTGAAGAGCTAATATACTAACTTATTCTGAATTTGATAAGTTCCAAACTTTGTGATTCATCACGTATTTTTTTTTTTTTTTGGAGTGACATACTTAAATCTCACATTTATGCATTATGCAATGCTGCATTGCCAGTCAAAATCCAAGCAAAGAGTAGCAATGGTTTCCTACTGCACCTTTTGCTTGCCCCCGTGCTGAATACTGCTTTTAGCCCTAGGTTTCATTAGCAACATCTTCACATCCCTCTGGGAGAGAAAGGAAGATATAAGCCAGTGAAACAGAAAGTGTGGCAATGTAACATCCATTTGTACCCTGAAGCTGTTCTCAAATGCTTTCTATGATGTGTGGGTGGGTGGTGAAGATATTCAAATCACTCAAAGTCAAAGGCAGCTTTGATGATTGTTTGTTGGGGGGAGGGGGTGTGGTTGTGTGGGTTGGGGTGGGCGGAACTATCAGCAAAAGTTCAGCGAATTCCTCTCGCAATTTAGCATTCCAGAGATGTTGAGATTCAAAGGCATCTATATGTAATGATGCAGAAAAATATGTCATCGATGTTACTACTGAAGCTATGGAGCTAGGAGAGTATCTGGGTCTTGTAGCTGAAGGAAATAAAGAATAGAAGATTGGATCGACAGAAAATTCTCTGTGAAAAGCAAGAATATCCTTGCTTGGTTTTGCAAGGGGATCTTAATTTGAGTCTTCAAAAATAAAAGAATCTTGTTGTTTTTCTGTTTTTTTGAATAGAAATTTGCTGCTTCTTGGGTGCATGTGAATTTTTGTTGGAGGGCTGGCAACTTCATCTCTTCCCTGAGTTTTGCTGCCACATAAGTCTCTTATGGATCCATTGTGCTCAGTAATATAATATCACAACATAGTTTCTGCAGTTCTGCCTACCATACTTTGCCTACTCTCAAGATTTTCTGTGCTCCTATCTACCCTTCCCAACCTTATGCTGCTTTTTTAGTTTCCTCTCTTGGGTTCATTTGAATTTCCTTAAGGTATTTGTAGATGTTTTGCTAAGGTTAATAGATTATCATTTTCTAGTGCCTATTTGGTGTGGCTTTCTTTTGGTAAGAGTTTCTCTGTTTGAATTGGACTTCAACTTGCTCATGCCACTAATTGTTTGCCTAAGCTTCTGCTCCTCCTATGCTGATTTAGTTGTTCCATATTGCCGAAAAGAGTTTTGTACTATTCTAAGCAGTCTGCAAATTTCTAGTTTTAATCTGTTTCTCGTTATAAAGGTTAGCTTAAAATTTTCTGCCCCATTAAATTTATCAAAAAATAAAATGAAGTTATGGGCCTTGCTTGAGGGGGTTAGATAACGTCATCAAAAAAAATTCTTACTGGTAAAAAGAGACTAATCATTAACTCACCTCCACTATAGACAAAGACAGATCTTCCTTAATAGCAGTTTGAGTTGGTGATGAATAGCCTGCCTGAATTCAAAAGCAAACATCTGCTTGTCAGTAGTCGTAATACAAGGTTTTGAATTACTAACTAATGAGTTTTCGCAATAGAAAAGGAAACGAGGAGGAGACGCTTACACAGGATCCAACTTCAAAAGAACCAGCAACAGCAACAAATGTGCTGAGGTAAACCATCCAAGCAGTACCAGTATTATTGCTGCTATGCTGAGAAACATATCCTTCTTCATCGGATAAATTCTTGGGCATGAGTGGTTCTCTTCCATCTTCGGGCGCACCATCATGACCATTCTCTATGTCCTCTCTGATGGCCATGCCTTTTGGTTTCTTTTTATCTGTATCTTCTTTTATATATTTCTATGTAGATGGCAAAGAGAAGTCTGAGAAAATGAATTTAAGGTCGAAGAAGAGACATTGTACTATACCCAGAATGGAAACTTTCTTAATTAAACGGCAAAATGTGGATGATATGTCCTTTCGAAGTGGCCCATAACACTCTGGGCCCCGGAGCTGTCAACTTTAATAAAGAATATGGATCCCTTGGTTCCTCTGATTATTGAAGCATTTTCTTGTCCAATCTGAAATGCTATGCAGAGATTGTTGTTTCATAAGAAACAAAACGCAGGTTGGTGTATCAATAATCGACAAGCTCTCCTAGTGGATGTCATCCGTTAAAATCTGTCTCATTCAACCATTAGAGAGTTTGCAATCGAAACAAACAATTCCCGTGTCCAGAATCGAAAAAAATAAGAATTTGTGGCATTAAACAGCTTGTATCCATAGAACATCTAAGTAGGAGTCAATATCGTTCCAACTGCCGTTCCAAAAGTAATTAGTAATTTTAGTCATAAAATATTGTTTTATGCTTCATCTACTTTCGAATTAAAAAGAAAGAAAATTCAAGCTATAAAACTGGTGCTGCCGGGGATGGTGTTTCAGAAATTTTAAGAATCTAATCACTAAAATAACATAATACCTGGGAATGCTAACGATGATTCAAAAACACAACAATACGACAACTCAACAACCAAACAACAGAATATAGATGAAATTAAGCATAGAAGAGCGGCCCGAACAAATCCTTGAATTTAGAAGCACGTGCAGCATGTGGAATATAACGTTGGTTCATGAAAAATAACGGATTCTTTTACAACAGTGTTAAGTTGAAACATAATCAAAGCTTGAGCTCAAGCTGGACCGCCAAGTTATTCCAAAAAAATTACCGCTATGTTCTAGCACTTCAAGTCCTTCGGGTTCATTTTCAACAGCACGGAGGAGCTAGACAACAACCTTGTACTTAACTAATGCAGCTTCAATCTCAACATTATTCCTTACCTACCTCAAATTTGTCTTGTATTTTGAGCTTTGAGGCTTCTCCTGGTGGACGAAAGATTCTCAGTTCTCATCTAACGTCATGCCTTATTAGGAGTTGCTTTGGCCTCAACGCATTATGCAAACAGCATTGCAAGTAAACCCAGTGAGAGCTCCTTGTTAAAATTGGCACTCGGAGCCTGCATCATCCATGAATTGAAATTAAGTTCTCGAATTCAACAGACCCAGCTTAGAGAGAAATGCCAAGCGAATCAATGCATCTCTAATCTTAAAAAAATGTCTGCATGTACCTCTCAAGACTCAAATGAACAACAAATCATTAGAATTATAAATTATTATAAAAGAAATAAAACAAAATAGTATTTTATTGTAAGCAAGCCTCGTTACAGTAAATCCAAAACCGTGTCCTTTTAAGGCTCAAAACATGCTGTTTCCCAAAAAATAAATATTTTTTTTGTTAATTTATTCAATTTATTACACTTTGGTCCTCGTAATTATTATTTTATACTATACAATCCATAATATCTATTAGTGTTGCAAAAAATCCCAATATTTTTTTGACTGGGCTGGGTTTTCAGTCCAGCTATGTGGGCTTGGTTTTCTCTAGCCCATACAAAAGGGCTTGGTATCAGCCTAGTCCATCCTTTTTTCTTTTCTCTTTTTTTATGCTTTTATTTTTTTATTATTTATTATTTACTCAAAATAATTTTTTCATGATTAATGGTTTTTTTTTTAATTTTTGTAAAGACTCAATAACTAAAAATTAAATACTCTTCTAATATGAATGGATTAAACACCTTATTTTAATTTGATTTTTCAAAATAATTAATTAATTGTATTTTTTTTATCAAAATAAAAAATATTTTAAGACCTATTTAAAATCAATTATATATATTAAATTAATTTAATTTTCACTATTAGTGTTAATTAATTTTTATTTAGCACTTATATTTTTGAATTATTTAAAATATTAAAACATAGTATCTAATAGCTTTACTCGTTGTGTGCTACTCGACTAAACTAATCAAGTTAGTTAGGGAAAGCTCGATTGCTAGCAATCTTTTCTTTTTTCCAAGATCAAAAGTAGAGACAATAGTATGAAATTGAGATCAATTACTCAAATAAATAACCGTGGATGACAATAAAGAAGTGCCACTAGTACATATTTCTATAAAATATTTTAAGAGTCTTAACTCCGTACGGCATGCCATGTTTGATAAAATCTAAAACTCTTCCTTCCCTCACCAATGACACGCCTGATTGACACACACAATAACCTTAATTTCATGCGAAAAATTATTTGTTACAATCTTATAAGTAATTATAATGGAAAAATACATACCACAAATTTGTAATCGAGATTTAAAAGTGTACTATCGTGTTTGTCCGTTGATTTGTAATGCTCCATTCATGGACATTTATCCGGTGCCGTGTTTTTTTTTTTTTGGTGACTTAAGTCCGATCACCTAAAACCCAAAGCCGAAGAATCGAGAAATTCATTAGATATCGATTGGAACGAGGTTCCAACTTGCAAACTAGAAATCATTGCACGGAAGGTAGGGATTCTTAAAACTTCTAGGATAATTTTCATTTTAGCCCTCGAATATATGGATTCCTTCGGTTTCTTTTTAAGAGTTGCCTCTAAATGTTTCATCCATTTATCAACAAAGTTAGTAATAATACTCCAACAATTATTTCTAATTGTTTCGTGATATAAACTATTCCAACATCTTTAGTTTGAAAAGGCTTGATTTTCTCAAAACATTGTGCAAGTATTTTTTTTTCTTTTTGCTAAGTTTTGCTTTCTCCTTGTTCATCATTTATTGGTTTTTTTACATTAAAAAAGTGCAGTAACAAAAAAAAAATATAGTTTATTCGAGTGAAATCTTTATTTTTTTTATTGATGTAACATTTTTAAATATATAAACTTTCAACTACCAACAAAAGAACAAACTTTTAAGCATTAGGAACAAGAGACATAACTAATCGTACTATGACTAACATTATCTCCACTATCTTCTAAACTCTAGGAACAAGGGTGAACATGGAGCATAACTAACACTTCTAAGTCATGATATTTAACATCCACTATCCTCTAAACTTTAGGAACAAGGGCGAACATGGAGTATGACTAACGGCTCCCTAGTCATGACATTCGACACTTTTCCTCGGTTTTGAAACTGCAACTCCAAGTCTTTGTCTCAAAAACTCATATCTAGCTTTAAGAAGTGCTTTGGTTAATACTTAATATATCGGCATTTTAATTTTTTTTTGTTTTGCAATAAATCAACTATACTTCTCTTTCTTCTTCTTTTTCTATACCTTTATTAGGAAATAGAGTTTTAACTTAAAATGTTTTGTCTTCCTATGGAACATATGAATGTTTGTAATCGAAATTACAACTTGGTTGTACAAAAGTATTTGTGTGCTTTCTTCTTGCTCCATATGTAAATCTGCCATTAGTTTCTTCATCCGAAGCCTAATTAACAATAATAGTAGCAACTACATATTCTACTTCTACTATAGATTGGGTGTTAATTTCTGCTTGGAGAATAATAAGAAAATACCAAAGCCAAAACTAAAGCAATAACCTCGGGTGTTTCTCATATCATTAATACAACCAACCCAATCGTTATTAAAATAACCATAAAAACTAAAATTTTTAACTTGATTGAAAATTTATCCTATAGTCAATCATGCAATTGACATATTTAACCATTTTTGTTGCTTGTAAATGAATTTTACTAGCATAGTACGACGATCTTGATAGTAGGCTCACTATATGCTTGATATCCGGTCTAGTTGCGAGTCATATATATCTCATATATAGCCCTTAATCAACCTTGTTAGCTCCATCTTCTCTATAAAACTTCTTCTTTTAATTCATTGTTGCAGTTGGCTTACACTCCTTTATGCTAAACTTTTTGAGAAGTTCATTTACATATTTCTTTTGGCATATGAATATTTTATTATGATTTTGTTGCATTTCTATTCTAAGGAATAATGTTATCATTCCAAGATTTATCATTTCAAACACGACTCTCATTTCCTTCTTAAACTTGTTAATCAACTCAACATTACTTCCTATTACAAGCAAATCATTAACATATAAGGATATAATAAATATTTTATCATCAATATTTTTTATATATAAAGTAAACTCACTCACACTCTTTTCAAAGCCTACATCACCAAGTGTGAATCAATTATGCTGCACCAAGCCTTTATTATTTGTTTTAAACTATACATGACTTTTTTTAGTAGATATATCTTTTTTTTCCTTGAACAATAAAGCCTTTAGGATGCTTTATAAAAATTTCATCATCCTACTATCCATTCAAAAAGGTTGATTTGACATCCATATGGTGTATGATCTAGCCTTTTTAAGCGAGAAAAGGCCAACAACGTACTTATAGTATCAAATCTTACAATTGGGGCAAAAGTCTTAGAGATATTTACTCCAAACATCCGAGCGTATCCCTTGACAATCAATCTTGCATTGTGATTGTTCACAAAAAATCAGAATTGAGTTGTATCCTATAAAAATCCTTAGTTCTACTTTTTTATCTAGTTCATCTCTCTTAACCTCGGGAATGTAAAAGAAACACAAGCAACTAAATGTTCTTAAATTGAGAAAACTTGATTTATAGTCATACTATACTTCAAATTGAGTCTTTTTTTACAAGGCTTTTATTGACATCTATCTAGTAGAAAAACTATTGTATTTACATCCTCGACCTAAAACTTCTTTAGCAACCCTTTGTCATGTGACAAACACCTTGTCATCTTCATAATTATTATGTTTTTTCTCTCCACCACTCCATTATGCCGAGGAGTGTAGGGTACACTAAGATGATGCTCAATGTTTGCATATTCACAAAACTTTTTAAATTTGTTAAAAGTGTATTTCATTCTATTATCCGATCTAATCACTTGCATATTTTGCATCTATTTTGAGTTTCCACCCAAGTTTTAAACTTCGAAAAAATGCTAGCAACCTTATATTTAAGTTTCATAAAATAAATATGGCACATTCTTTTTAATCTTCAATAAAGGCAATATAATACTTACTTCCATTTAATGATGGTATTTTCTCGAAGTCTTCCCATCTCTCGTATGAACTAGTTGCAACTTTTGTATAGCCCTCTAAGCTCGATTTTATGGAAATGATAGTTTTGTCTATCTTTTATACCGACGGACAACATATGTAAAAAGCTCATCCTCAAATTAATGCAAACTTTCATGAAGATTTTGCCCTCTAAACCTGATTTTATGAAAATGATAGTCTTGTCTCGTCTTCCATTCCGACGGAAAACACATGTAAAAAGCTCCTTTGTAAATTACGACAAACCTTTCATAAATTATTCTTCTTCATGAAGAGTCGGGCAGCATGGTGAAAGTACTTCAATCTCTTGTGCCAAAGCACCACATTACTTTTTTGTTTGTGTATCGCATCCTACTCTTCTTCTAGCAGATTCAAGGAAAAAAATTTTCCTTTCATTTAGACTTTGAACACCTTCCTGTCTTCTACATCTTTGATCATACATTTTTTATCCTTAAACAAAACTTTATATCCCTTCTCTAGTGACCGACTAACATTTAAATTTTTTTGATCAATTTCGAAATATATAACACATTATAGATAAATTTCAAACTTGAAAGGCCTTCATTTTCCACTATCCTTTTGCCTTTTACTCGTAATATATGCTCTATTCTCAATTCTAACTTTGAAAATAACGAGTTCTATCAAGCTCTCTAAAAAGCTCTTAGTCATATGTCATGTGTTTTGTACAACCATTATCTATCAACCGACTTTCTGCAGAGTTACTACTAGCAAAACATGATGCCACAAACAGTTGCTCCTTCTATGATTGATCAACAACACCCTCGGCTTTTATTTGTTGTTGTTGAGACTTGTACATCCTCTTTATATGACCAATTTGACTACATTCCCCGCACTCGAACATCTAGTCTCCACCAACATCTTTTCTATGGATGGTTGGTCTTTTTAGTGTATGGGCGGGATGAAAAAACTTCAATTTTGTTGTTGCTATTATTTCTTGAACCTACTCCAAACTTATTGTTGTGGTTTTACTTCTTTTTCTTATACTTGCCACCATTTTTGTTCAATGATTTGGCTTGAAAACCACATTCTATAAACCCTTCTTTTTTCATAAGCATGCTTTATTCATGTGCTTGCAATACATTCTGCTAAAGGAATGCTTGATAGATATTTTGACTACTCTAGAGAGGAAATTTTAGCCTCATACTTCTCAAGTAATGTAACCGGAATCTTTTGAACTATTCTTTCATCATAAAAATCTTTATCAAGTAATCTCATCTCGTTTACTATGTTGAGCGACCTATTAGAATAGTCTTTGATTGATTCTAACTCTTTTATATTTTATATTTAAAATCCTCCGATCATATTAAACACCTTCATGTTCTTTGTCCTCTCATTTCCACGGTACTTTTTTTGAGATAATGCTAGGTATCCTTTGTAGATTTTAGGTTCAAAATTATAGTGAAAATAGTATTTGATACGGTAAAGAATAAGCAAATGTTGGCACGGGATTTTTTAGTTTTTTTTTTTCTTATGATTCTTGAGCTAAGCCATGGTTTGACTAGTCGGCAATGCGGGAACATCATAATTATCTTCCATCGCCTCTCGGAGATCCAAAGCATCAAGATGAACAGTCATTCTAACAACCCAAGTTTGATAATTTTCACCATCAAATATTGGTGGTGAAGCCGATGTGAATGATGCTTCGATTCTATGTAGTTATCTATTGGATTTTGTGTTTTTGTAGGCTTGGAATATGTGTTTAATGCTCACTCAATCTCACATGTCCCTCAAGATAAAGCTCTAATACCAATGGTAGGTTTTTTGACATAAGCAAAGTGCGGTAATAACAAGAACAATATGATTTTTTTAAAGTGAAATCTCCACTTATTTTTTTTATTGATATAAAGCATTTTTAAATACATAAACCTTCAACTCGTCAACTAAAGAAGAAACTCATAAACTCTAGGAACATGGGACGTAACTAACGAAACATGACTAACACTATCCGCATTATCTTCTAAACTCTAGGAAAAAGGATGAACATGGAAATGACTAATAGCTTCTTAGTCATGACATTCAACATCCACTATCTCCTAGACTAATAGCGTTTTCATAAGAGATGTTGCTCCATTCAATTGGAACATAAGCCCTTCCAATCACAATGACCTTCCAAACACGTACCAAGTAATCTTGAAAGAAACTAACCGTTGTTATTTCTTAATTTCTAAAAGCAACTAGCTACATGATCTATAATTGTTTTGGCTATGATTAAAACAATAAATCGAAATAACAATTGATATTTCATTCTAGCTAGCTTGTTTTGTTTCCCTAAACATTAACTACTTGAATTTGTTCCGGGGTTTTCCCTTTTGTTTCGGCACCGAGCATTGCCACGAACGCTATGGTCACTTGCGTTGATCGCCGCATAAAGAATAAATGTACTCGTAAACAACACTTGAATAACTCGGTGTTTGGCTTGCACATCTTTTTTAAATTTCCCAAAAAAAAAAATAGCTCTTACTATTTGATTTTTTCGCCTTTTCTAGTTGGTGACCGAGCTTAGCTTGCTTTTTATATGCTAATGTCAAATTACTTCGCTACAAAAAAAAAAAAAAAAAATAGATTTATTTACCATAAGAGCTCCGGGACATGAGGAAGTTGAAGGTGAAGGAAATTGCCCATGCACAAAACCGGTTCACTAACGTTGCTATGCTTCCAAGTAACTCCTTTAATATTTATAGGAAATAAGCGCAACAAAAAGATAATATTTATGTTAGTGGGATATCCAATATAGAGATTTGGAGTTATTGTCTTAGTTGAGCTATCCGAATTCTAATTACCTCTAACATCAAAACCCAATACTCTCTTTATATTAAGATTTTTTTTATAATAAAGAGATTTGATCCAAATTTCATCTCCAATGCTCTCTTTATCACAATCTCTATCTTTAAAATTGATATAAAGAGTGTATTTGGCTCTCTAATACTAGAGAGTAAAAATGACTCTTTATCTTATATTTCATTAATGAAAATTACTATTTCCTATGTCATTCAACCTCTTCACTAATAGTCTCTCTGGGTTTTATATATTTTATCAAAATAAAGAGTTAAGTAGAGAGTAGCATTAGAGAAGATATTGATCTTCAATCTATATAATTAATGTTGCTCTCTATTTACATTAAAAATGCTAGCTAAAAGTAGAGAGTATCATTGGAGATGCTCTTAGTTGAGCTATCTGAATTCTAATTACCTCCGACATCAAAACCCAAGGAATTGGACCCACTCCTGCTGCGTACGATGCTATATATAACTAAACTCAAAAGAGTAATTGCCAGAGTCAACACAGTAATGAGATGTTCTTTTGTTCATTTATTATGAAAAGATCAATCCATGTTAAAGCTAGCTTTAATCTTACCAATATGCCAGTTACAGCGAGTATGGGAACTGACTTGAGTGCTAATTCATTAACCTGTTTCACAGACAAGGTATTTCTAAATTAATGCTAATATTTGAAAAAGAAAAAAAAAAAAAAAGTGCCATTAATTGTCATAGTTTCACTATAACCTTCAGATAGAACGAAAGCCCTGTTATTATGCAACTGAGGACCAATCCTGAAGCAGAAACCTAGAATGCCAAGAAAGCATATCTTTCAATATGTGAAAGGGTGACTGGTCTGAGGAAATTTTTATAGACGGAAGAACTTTACCAGTAAAAGAGGCTTTCTTCCAATTTTATCTATTATGGTTGTGCTGAAGGCAACAACCACAACCTGCAAAAGGGGATTGTTTCAGTCAATTTCTAGCTATAGTTGAGATAAATAGTTTTTTTGGAGTTAACAGACGTTGTCAGAGTTAGAAACCTGAAGGATGGCATAGCTTATGGTTCCAACCGTAGGCGAAAATCCTGAAGAAGTTACAATTCAATTATGAATTTTAGAGCGCAGATCAGTTCAAGCATGAGTTATATGATTTCCTTTCAAGATGGAAGGCAATGGATAAAAGAAGTGGTGGGCACTGAAAGATCTGTTTATCTGCTTAACGAGAGACAAAAAGTGATGCTTTCTCCCCTGGTTCATGTAACGTGATTTTCCTTTGAAAGGAATCTTCAACAGAACATTTTTACCTGCTGACTCAAAGATATGGCTGGCATAAAAGCAGATCCCGTTGATTCCTCCAAATTGTTGTAAGATCATCAATCCGACTACTATCTGGTCAAATAATTAAAATGTTGAATTAAAGGTTAACTATAGATGAAGGTCAGAGTTTATGAAGACTTTATTGAGATCAGTAGCAAAGTAATGGAAATTACGACTAAGGAGAGGCATATTTACAATGACTGACGGCAGGTGTCTTCTTTGAAATAAGTCAATCAATTTGGCTTTTGGGAGCCGTTCTAGAGTTTTTATAAAATCCTGTCAGACAATTGACAAATTAATCATTCTCTTATTTTACTGTAAATGTGGAGAAATTACAATGAAATTCTAATGCAGACTAAAAAATGAGAACCTTGATTTCAGCAGCCTCGTCAGATATATCAACGGCCTTGCCACGAAGTTTCTGTAGTGTCCTTTCAAACTCTTTTACACGTCCCCTCTTTGCCTGCATTCATCAGATAGTACTTGTTTCGTGCATAAATGTAATTCGTTGATATTACTTTCATTATTTACGTACACATTTTTCTGTTTCTTACCAGCCATCTGGGGGACTCTGGAATAAGGAACAGGCCAACAAGCAGAATTGCACAAGGGATAAGTCCTGCAAGAACTTCAAAAGTATAGCACCCCGTCCTTCTATCATCTGAAATATTTTTCTTTTCATGATTGAATATATACAGGAATTTTACCAGTCAATGCCAAAACCCTCCATGTCAGCACTGTCCCTATTATGAACGCACCAGACACTCCAATACCAAGCATAAGCTGTAAGATACAGTAATATAACGGGTTGTGATTCTTATGTATAATTTCTCATTATGAGTGATCTGCATTATCTGTTTTCTGTTCTTTAATTCACAAAGACTCCATAATGTTAAGACTGTCACAACATAGGAATTTAACTAGAAAACAGTATTTCAGCAATTTTTGTCTTCTGCAATCTTTACCTGAGTTGCAGCTGTTAATATTCCTCTAAGGTTTCCGGGTGCAATTTCAGCAATATAAACAGGAACCTAGACATAAATCAACAATGTCAAGAAACTTATCAGTAACATGTTTTATATAAATCAAATGCAAGAAGAGAAAGAAAACGTACCAAGAAGGACAATGCTCCCATTGCGTATCCTGTTGCCAATCTTCCAATGTACAATGCCAAAGCGTCCTTAAGGTATTAAGCATTAACCAAGATTGAGTAATAGATATTAAGCATTAACCAAGATTGAGTAATAGATATTGTCATGTCCTTTGAAAAATCATGTTGGTATGCATATTATGGAGAGTTGATGACACGAACCTTAGCAAAGTAAATGGCAAGCCACCCTGCAACACAGAAGGTGCTAGAAATTCCCATCGCCTATATTCCACATGAAGACAGTATTATTTGGTGGATGCTCGCTAAACAAAATATTTAGGAACCGAATCCCCCACAAGTGTAGCTTAAAAGAACTGTATTTATTCATGATAGCATCTCTTTGCTTACCCCTTTCCGTCCGATTAAATCAGCAATTGGTCCACTTGTAATTGCACCAATCATTGCACCAACTGTCAATATGGAACCAAACACAGAATACTGCATGCGTACTCAGAAATTAACACATCAGTTTTGAAGTTAAAAGTCCTAAGAGTTGGTTTTCCACATTGGAGTTGCACTGTATAACAGGATCTGATTTTGCTAACGAAAACCCCAAATATGCTTCATAGTTTTATCCTAAGGGTTGGTTTTCTACAATTGATCTCAAATCATTTATAATTCTTTTTCAAGTAAAGGTGATATGTTTGTTTCAAGTTCATTTATTATTCCATATCTCTAATCATCGTAAACAGAGTAAATAAAAGCCAATATTGATTAAATTTTAATGTATCAACAATTAAACCTGTCATATTTCCTGAAAGTATCTGTTCTATAACAGGTAGAATAGTAGAAAGCAGTGGTTTGTTATTTTTTTTCTCATCCAAATTGTTGCTAGTGTATATGCTTGTCTCCCAGATTTTCTGATATTTTCTTATGATGACTCCTGGATCTATGCTAACTTATTCTGAAGGAAATAAAAAAATTGATTGTAGCATCCAGCAGAAAATTCTCTGTGGAAACCAAGAACTGAGTGTGCTGAAGAATGTATCCAAGTAATCAATCCTTTGGGTTTGATGGCGAGCCTCTTTCTACATTTTGTCATTGTCCTTGCTTGGTTCGTCAGCAGTCTTAAGTTTCAAAAGAAAAACAAAAAAACTTGTTACATTTTCTGTTTTTGGAATAGAAATTTGCTGATTTTACAGCAGGCAGATTTTTGTCTGAAGGAATTAAGCTGGCTGTTTTATCTTTTCCCTGAGTTTTGCTGTGGCTTAGTATCTTATGGATCCAATGTGATCAGCAATATCATATCACTCCACTGCTTCTACAATTCTACCTGTTATACTCTGCCTATTCTCAAAATTTTCTATGCTCCTATTTACCTTTCTCAATCTTATGTTACTTCTTTCATTACTTCTCATGGAATCATTTATTGTTAGTTTGGATTTCCTTACGAAATCTGTTTAACGAGTTTGCTGATATTTGACTAGGGTTAATAGGTTATAATTTTCTAGTTCTACCTCTTAATGCGGCTTTCCTTTGTTTAGAGTTTCTCTGTTTGAGTTCAACTTGTGCTTGCTCATGCCACTAATTGTTTGCCTAAGCTTCTGCTCCTTCTACGCTGATTTACCTGTTCCATGTTGCTGAATGTTTTCTTTCCTATACTGCGCTGTTTGCAATTTCTACTTTTCTACAGGATCCTCAGTTTCTATCTGTTTTTTTGGTTTATTATTAGCTTAACATTTCTTGTCCCGCTAATAAAAGCTCTTCGATTTATCATATAAAAAAATAATAAATAAATAAAACGTGAAGCTATGGGCCTTGCTTGAGCGAACTAGATAGTGTCATCACACCGAATATAAAAGATAGCACAGGGGCATGTTGTGCTCTGTTGAACATGCTTTCTAGTTAAATGCTTCCATATTTAGGCCATGTATTCTTCAAAATTCTTACTATAAAAAGAGCGCCTAATCATTAACTCACCTCTGCTACCGACAAAGACAGATCTTTCCTTAAAGCATTTTGAGTTGGTGATGAATAGCCTGCCTGAAACCAAACATCTTTTTTTCAGTCGTCGGAATGCAAGGTTTTAATATGTTTTTGCAGTGGAAAAGAAAATGAGGAGGAGGTATTTACGCAAGATCCAGCTTCAAGAGAACCAAAAACGGCAAAAAATGTGCTGAGGTAAACCATCCAAGCAGTACCAGTACTGCTGCTATGTTGAGAGCCAGATCCTTCTTCATCAGAAAAATTATTGGGCATAAGTGGTTCTCTTGCATCTTCGGGCGCACCATCATGATCATTCTCTATTTCCTCTTTAATGGCCATGCTTTATCTTTTCTGCTATCTGTATCTTTGTTTGTGTGTGTGTATCTACCGAACAGTCAAAGTGAAGTCTGAGGAAATGATTTTGTGGTCAAAAAAGGACATTGAAAATAAGCCACAATGAGATTATTTCATAAACCACAACATGTGGATGATATTTCCTAAAGTGGTCCACAACACTCTGGCCCGGGAGCTTTCGACTTCAAGACGAACAATGTGGTACGCATTTTATAGTGGAATAGACATTTCGAAGCGGTGTGAGCATTTCTGTTTCATTAAAAACAAAAGACATTTTGTTTCTGGTAATACGGTTGAAAATCATCGAAAAACGCCTAAAAAAAACATCAAATTCATGCTTTTTCAGCCAAAAACACCTCAATTGCAATGTCAAACGGTGCCAAAGTGTACCAATGCACAAAAGCTTGTGGTGTCCATCGCTGGAAGTGCAAAACACCTGATCTAGCAAATTGTAAAACGACAATCAATTCTAAGCTCCTTGTGGGTGGCATCCGTCAAAATCTGTCTCTTTCAAGCATAAAACAGTTGAGTCATAAAATGCTACTATGATTGTAAATATGAGCACGTTTCATGCATGGGAATTTAAAAAGAAATTTCCAGTTATAGAATTGGTGCTGCCAACAGCCAAGGGCCAAGGATGCTGATTTCAACTGTAACTGGAAGCAGAAAAATGATGTTTTTTCTAGAAATTTATGTGAATCTGATCACTAAAATAATAATACTAAGTAATGACAGGTTAGAAGAATAATAAGTAAATAAAGGCGGGCTTTACTGGTCTATACACATCCACAACACGTAATGTAACTCAACAACCAAAAGATAGAATAGAAGACCTGGAAATTAAAATAAATTGTTGAACTGATGATACTCCAGGTTTACAAGCAGGTGCAGGGATGTAGAATCTGACATTGTTTACTTTACAGCAGAATTATGTTGGAACTTAGTATTTATAGTAATTAAGGCTAGTTTGACCAAGTCACTCTAAAAAAATTACTGCACTGTTCTAACACTTTGATTCAATAGCACCAAGGAGATACACAAGAACCATGAAAGTGGTTTTAAGCAACTTCCGTCTCACTTCTCTTCCTTGCCTGCTTGGGATGTTTAGCAAAGGCTACAGGGAATGGATTCTGTCCATGAAACTTCCTTCCCCAAAATTTGGCTTCGTTTTTAGCGTTGAGGCTTCTCCTAGTTCAGCTCTCATCTAACATCATGCCATGTTAGGAGTTGCTAGGCCACATCGCAATACGCAGACAGCATTGCAAGGAAACCCAAGAGAGTTCCTTGATACAAAATGCACTTGAATGGTTCTGTGGATTTTTTCCTTAGCTCAAAGTCAAGAGATACTATCATGAAACGGAGACTTCCTGTATAAACTTTTCGAGTGCATGTTATGCTGCCTACAGCTCAGCCTTTTCATCTCCAAATATGATTTACATTGCAAACATGAATAATACCATGCTATCTTCAGTGAGAATTATCTAAAAATGACCAAACTAAGCTTTCCCTCCATTATAATCCAAAGATACAGTGAGCTTCTGCCATGCCTTGAAAGTTTAGAAACTCAGGAGGCAGCACACCAACCATTTGATAACCTCCTCAAGGAGAGGGTTAACTCAAAAGGAAAAAATGTTTAGATACTGGCTACTAGGTATAATCTCTATTCAGTCTCTCTACTCAGCTATAAATCAAGTGAGAAAACAAAATGTTCTTCAATCACAAGAACATTTGAAAATGACTGCTTGATTATGCTATTAAGTAATAACACTATACCTCTAGCACTTACAAGCTATAAAGCTTTACGTCATGCAAGAAGCCAGATTATGCATTCTTAATGATTAATCCAATGATCGATTGTTACAACTCTTCATTTGCAGATACATAATATCATATGCAAACAAAACATCAGATGGCAAAAACTGTAGGCATCCTATATGTATTACCTGAACTAAAAGAATCAACTTTTGCTTTACATCTATTTATCTTTACAATGAGAGGTGTGGTTCCAAATCCACTACATGCAGTCTAAATCAACAAATAATTCAAGTTGAGCATGCCAATCAGTGTAAGTACTGTGGGAGGGTTCAACTGATCCACTCTGATCAAACCATAAACTTCACAACTATTCTATAATTCTAGAATCTGAGCTTGACCCTTCTTCCTTGCGGATAGAAGGGTGATTGTTCTCGAATGTGAACTGCTGATAGCCAGTTGGACTAGAAAGCTGACCAGAGGCACTACTGCTCACTGATCTCTCAATATCATCCATCTCAGCTACAAAAGAAATTGGCCTTTCTGGAATAGAGGGAATTGAGAGGTCTGTTTCCAACATTTTCACGACCTGGTCCATTGTTGGCCTAGCATATAACTGTGGATGAGAACAAAGAACTGCCACCAGTACATACTTCTCCAAAACATCTGGTGAGCCTATCTCCGGCATGCCATCCTCAATAACGTCCAAAGTGCTCCCTTCTCTCACTAATGACCATGCCCAATCAGTCACAATAGATGGTTGTCCCTCATGATCCACCATAAGTGCCTTCTTTCCACTCAAAAGCTCAAGAAGCACAACACCAAAGCTAAACACGTCACTTCTCTCTGTTAACTGCCCATACAGAGCATACTCAGGAGCAACATATCCCATAGTCCCAGCTACCCTGGTGCTCAAATGCGTCATTCCTTCTGGCGTAAACTTTGCTAGCCCGAAGTCCGCAACCTTGGGCTCAAAATTCTCATCCAAAAGTATATTACTAGCCTTAATGTCCCTATGAATAATTGACGGTTGAGCGCCATAGTGTAAATAAGCCAAGCCTCTGGCAGTCCCGAGAGCAATCTTTTGTCGAATAGGCCAAGTAAGCTTTTCTGCAGTAGACCCAAATAAATGATCATACAAGCTGCCATTCTTTATCAAATCGCACACGATAATCCTCTGGTGACCCTCGAAATGACTAGTGGCAGTACAATATCCTCTCAAAGCAACAAGATTGACATGCCTGACACTCGCAATAACCTCAACTTCATGAGCAAAATTAGCATCACCTGCAGCCGAGCAATTCTTGAATCTTTTAAAAGCAACTACAGATCCATCTGGCAATTCACCTTTATACACATTCCCATAACCTCCTCTCCCAATAATGTTATCCCTAGAAAAATTTCTAGTTGCCTTCCTAATCTCATCAAATGTATATTTAATCAAAGTAGTACTTTGACCGATGGACTCCAAGCCAGAACCCAACTCTGTCTCAACTACCCTCCCAAAGTTGCCGGTCTTCTTTTTCCTCTTATTGCGAAAGATCCAACACAAACCAATCAATACCAACAACCCAACACCACCCACTAAGAAAACACCCAAAATTATGACTTTGCTCTTATTCTTGCTAGATTTCTTGGAAACAAAATCAATTAAAAACAAACACTTAGCAGTGCCCTCATCAGTAGGTCCATACCTATTAGAAAAAGCCGCAGCATAAATAGAAGGATAGCCCTGGCAATCAGAAACATTCCCGATGGAAGGTCCCGTCAAGTACCTGGCTTGCAGCGTGGACAAGCTAGTAGTACAAGCAGCACACGGAGAATTATTCTCAAGGGACTGGTTACAGTTGGAAGCAACATCATTGAGAGAAGAAACAGGGACGATGGCCTCGAACTGGGACCTGGTGGTGATTTTCATACAACCCTGAGAGATCCAGCTGGTGTTGAAGCCGCAAGAGGAGCGGATGTCGAAATTGGGAAGGAAACGATCGACGAGAACCTGGTAGGCGCGCCAGCATGATTCAGCAGAGTCAGGTGGAGGAAGGAAGGAGTTGCTATTTTGGAGGTAATGGGATTGAACAAGTCGAAGGCCTTGACGGATGTGCTGACACTGCTGGGCGATGTCTGAAGTGGTGGGTCGTTTGGAGCCCCCAGATGTTAGTCTGGGGAGGACGTTGAAATCCAGTGGGCATGGAGATGTGTTGTTTTGTGAGAGGGATGATAATGGTAGAAGGAATAGAGTGATGAGGAATGTTATGATGGTGAGGAGAAAGAGATTGAACATTTGGGAATGGAGGTGGAAGCGCTAGCTAGGGCCGGAGTTTTTTCATGGAGCTGGGGGTTGGGGAGAAGAGAGAGACGAGAGAAGAGAAGAAGGGTTGTTGGAGAAATTGATTGATTATTTTGACTTGATTAATCAAGAGTTTAGCTTTTTATCACTTTATAGCAGCCAGTTTGACAGTTGAAGAAGAAGAGGAGACAAAAAATAGGCGCCTGGCAGGCAGATTCCAGGAAGGAAAGGTTAACTGAATTTTACAGAATAATTAATGGCCATTTAGTTTACTTTCTATTTTAGCTTTTCTAATTTTTTTTAAATCAAAATAGAAAATTTACTCTGAATTTCTTTTTTTTAAAAAAAAACTATATAAAACCAACGACTACTTTTACAATTCTGAAAACCATGTATTTTTCAAAAATAAAAATAAAAAGGTTTTCTATTTTTATTTTGGAAAAAAAAAAAACTAAAACCTCGACTGACATAAAATGGTCTTTTCAATTATTTTTCTCCTTTATGGGAAATAAGAAAACACCATAATCAACGCAGCTATCAGAGCAGTTAATTTCTTGAACAACTAAATTCCTTTATTTTGAAAGACTGATGCTCTTTGATGGGAAAGAAAAAGTTTGAAGTGAACCTTACTACAGCTGGGTTGCATATCGACAGTACATAATTCCAAATTCCATTCTTTCTTTTTTCTTTTTTCTTTTTTTACCAAAATGAAATTCGTATCATACGCTTTCGAATTGCAATTTCATCTCCTCGTTATCTTTTTCAATTCAAATTACAAGTTTTCTTTCTTTTTAATAAAATAACGAATGCACGATGCATCTTTATAAAGCTATAAGTCAAAACAGATTCTTATCATCATAGTTTTATAATATCTAAAAAGTAGTAGAGTTTGTGCAAATACATCTTCCATTTCTATAATACTTTCTTAATTTCGCGAAAATATACTCAACTCTTGACAAATATATTTCTTATTCTTGATTTCATGAAGAAAAAAAATCAATTGTAGTTTCTAAAACAACAAAGCTAAAGCAACGATTTAATAAATCTAAAAAAAATACTTCGAAAAAATAGTATAGTAGAAAAAATAAGACATGTGAACGAAAACTTCAAATTAATCAGAACTAAAACCAACATCTCAATTTAATTTATTGATTTTTTTTAATCTGGTTTTGAGAAATTTATAATTTTTCAATTTGAATAGTATTATTAAATCCAAATCGAACCTTCGTTCAATAAAAAAAATGTTGAGCGAAATATACATAGAGAGAGAGAGAGAGAGAGTTGCATTATTCAGTATATAAACGGTTAATTGAGAGTTTATGCATCAGCATGAGGATGGACATAGAGTTTTATTACATTAATTTTTAATATAATAAAATACTAAATATCGTCAATTTAATTTAAAATAATTGTACATATTTTATGAAGATGGCGAAATAGTTTTTGCGATGCATAGATTTAAGCACAAAGATATCACATCAAGCCTACGTTAGACAACGAGGTCGCCATCTGTCCCAATCCCAATTATTAATTTTCATTCAAAAGAAACTAAATTTAAGAAATCAAAAAGAAAAAAATTAATAGTCATTAATATTCAGTTTTATTTATATAGATGCATAATTAATGTTTAATCAAACCAATGATCCATTATTATTATCTTCATATATATATATATATATATATATATATTTTTTTTTTTTTTTTTTTTTGAAGAAATCAATTTTAAATAATAAAAATAATAAAATTCAATATTCATATTAATCCTAAAATCTAAAAAAGTATCGTATATATTTCACAATTACAATCATACATGAAAAAAAATCATAATTAATTTTTTATAATTTTCACATCTAATTTAATAATAAATAAATTAAAATAAATTGTTAAAAAAATAAAAACAGGGGGAGCATGCATGTATCTTTAAAAAATATTAAGAATAAAAATAAAATATAATATCAAATTTGCATATGAATGCATAAAAAAACTTAAAAATCACAAAAATTCTATTGTACAGTGAAAATGAATAATACATATAAGTATAAGTAAATAGTGATGTAAGTAGTAATTCACTTCAAAATTTTTAGTTTTTTTTTATATATATATAATAATAACACTCTCTTTTCTTTAATTTTTAGTAGAATTAATTATATTTTTAGTGTATAAAGTTTTTAATTTTTTCTATGTAGACATGGTAATTTTAATTTTTATTATTTGAATATATTAAATTATTTTTTTCTATTTAAGTAGTTTTATTAACTTCCATTAATTTTATTATGATGTGACATTAAATTGTGAGTTCTACTATCAAACATGTGGCAATTAGAAAAAAAAATTATTACATATTTAGTGTATGAGCTTGTTAATTTTTTTAATTTGAGTGTAGAAACTTTAATTTTTTATTTGAGTGTACTAAATTATAATTTATCTTTTCTATTTGAGTGTTTTTGTTAAGTTTAGGTTGATGTATCTTTTAACAACACTCTCATGTAGGCTCTACCTAGAAATTTCATCTTACTGGGCAGAAATTAAAAAATTAAAAAAATATATTTAACAAATGTTTGTATTCAAAAATAAAAACACCACTACAACAATAAATATATAAAATTAAATAAAAAACCTTTTTAATCAATAAATATATCCAATCTAAAAATCAAAATCCTCCCGCCAAAAATAAAACAAAACGAAAGCCTATCAAACACCATCAAAAAGAGATCTTCATCAGATTGCAAATTCAAAGAGTCTTAATTGAAGAACCCAGTAAAGATTAATCAATTAATTTAACTCCAAACCCTCACTTGTCTCAAATGAGAACCAACACTCATCAACTTAGCAGTATTTCTGCAGATCGTTGCAGTCTCAACAAACAATGCGTCTCGAATATCGATCAAGTACTGGAGGGACTAGAAGCAAATATTATGGTGAATCCTCTCAAAGAAGCTCAAATTGAGGTTTTGAAAGCAGATGTTCAGTCAAAGAAGATTCACAATGCATCCAAAAAAATTGACTTAAGTGAAAAGAATTATAATCGTTAACCAAATGATCTTGGATTCAAACTTTTGAATATGTAAAAAATTTTATATATAATTGTTCCAGTTTTATGGATCTGACAAAACAATGAGAAATTAATTTGAATTTTTAGTTCTCAAATGTCTTAGATAATAAAAAAAAAGATTCTGGATGCATTAACTAATTAAGGTTGTCATGGATGAATAGCACACTCTAGCTGAAGAGAAAGACTTGGCAATTGGTCTTGTTTCTATGAAAGGGCGTGTCTTTTGTTCGTGTTCCTTGATTTGGAGCTTCCCAGTGTCTATGTTCCTTTCGTGAGTAGCTCTGGTGGTGGACCGTAGCCTACTTGAAAGATTTAGTGGAATGGTATGTGTTAAGTTTCATTTCGTTTGGCATCATTTATGATATGACATTGCATTTTTTTTGGTTGACCTCATAGTTGGTATAGAGAAGGATCCAGCTAGTTGGAACTTGGAATTCTATGTTTTATATACTTGTTTTCAATGGTCATATCAATGTGAAAGGTTTTAATGTTGGACTTCTTGCTCTTGCTGCTGCATCTTGTTTTCTGTATTTTGTCTCTCTCCTCACCGCATAGGTTTCCAATCAGGTGTTTTAATGTTATTTGGTTTATCAAAAAAAAAAAAAAAAAAGGCCGCAGCCACGGCCATCTTAATTACCTGCAAGTAATGCTATTGCGTGGCCTAAGAGCCAGACTTGGCATCACACATAATGTTTTTCTGTAGGAACTAATTAGTATTTTCCAGGAAACAGTACATGTGCATGCACACACAACCTGTGTTACCCTGGCTACAAGCATGTTTGCTTCCACTGTATTAACATCACAACTCACCCCATGAAGATTTAGGTACATGATTAAGCTTCAGTGTTGGCTGTAATTCTCAAGCTTAGTTTTTGGATAGTGATCCAGGACTACCACCTTCTGGATAATACTGATGTGTATCAGTGGATGATTGACCTCCATAGTTGCCATAGCTTTGGTTTGTTTCGTAATTAGCATTATCAGAAACATTGCTACTGCCCATTTTATTTTGTCACTGTTGCCCTTGTTTGAAGTAGGGGTGCTGTTGAGATCATAAGCACCAGCGTCACCTTTTAGACCAAGAGATGAAACTTGGAAGGTCTCTCAATAGATGACGGTTGGCCACCTTACAGTCCATGGTGACCACTTCTGCACCAGCTTGGCGAGCTACCAAGATCAAATAGATCAAAGTAATGAAAAGCACTGGCAAGAACTTCATGATCAAATAAATATTGTGTGCAATGACCTGTGAACAAGCGATTAATTAATATATTAAGCTTTTAGTAAAGATCTCAATTTTTTTTTCCTTGAAAAACAAACTAGCAGTAGAAAACAAGATGAAGGCCCTTTATATATATATATATATTTCTAATTTAAAATTCTATTTTTATGTTATTGTTTCAGACTTTAAATATAAACACACGTGACAAACTCTAGCTAATAACAACTTACCACATGTAATGATGAGTTCAAATTAAATGATTGAATTGATGATTTGGCAACCGTCATTGACTAAAGCTTACCCCTGTGTGCATACGTTCGTGACACATTAGAGTCCGAAGTAACAATATAAAAATAAAAATTTTAAATTAGAAATATATATATATAAAAAAAAATTTAAGATCTCAATCAAAAAATTTTGAATTTTATGATATCTTGATATATGTAAAGTCTAGGAGAAAAAAAAAAAAGAAAGGCAAGATCGAATGGCTGTATCACAATGGCGTAAAAACCATTGCAAGAGTTAATAGCCACCAAAGATGTAATTATGATTAAGATTGATAGATAACACATAGCTATAGATGTTCAAAAGTCTCATAATTAATCATAGATCGAGCTGCCATTTTAGGATCCAATTGTGGTTATAAATTAACTAAATTGTGTGAAAAGTGTAAAAATTTCTAACTCATAATATTAATTTTTTACTAAAATTCGCTATCGA